GTCTTAAAGTATGTTACATGAAATATATTGAGATAACGAACAATATTCACGCTCAAAAGTCTATTAAAAACATAAATCAGGAGCAGAGCAAACACGAACCTCTTAAACACCTGAGTTGGGATCAGATGCCATGGAGGAGTGAGTATCCACTGCCAATTGATCATGTTTTGTGCTCTTTGTCATGATCGGAAAATAACGCAAAAATCTGTCGTCAATTCAGTCTATAGATAATGGACTAACAATTAGTAGGAAAAACGTCAGTAAGATTTTACTTAATGATAAATTAATTTGTATTTGTTGACAAGGCAATTGTATCGACCATAGAAATAACAAAGTGATGACTTTAAACGAGACTGCTGATATTCTTGTTTCATCAACTTATTTGTCAAGAATTTACCTCGTTTTAGAAATTGTTCATACGTAGAGTATGCTCATACGTATCGAATCAACTGAAAGATATAAACCCCGTATACACGTGATAAAAGTACATGTATATTACTGCATAAGTATTAAGGTAAGTTGACGATAGAAAAGTCATCGCGTTTATCACAGAGCTTGGTTGTTAGATTACCATAAAGGTCTTTTTCAAGTAAAATATCCAAATATGAAACAGATGTGTCAGACTCTGTGGTATCTTGTATCTCCATCTCACCAGGATATATCGTATCGACATAAGGATGATAATTATCATCGTAAATTGACAATACATCGTCGATATATTTAAATGTCGAGCTGAAGGCCACAGGATGTATTTTCTTCTTTTCAAGCATAAAATTTTCCACAAATTCTGCTTCTGAATACAAAAATAAGACTGCTGATAACGGAGCGCGTCAATCAGAAACTCTTACATTTTCGATGTCATTTTCAGCGTACTTGTGTGTATAATCAGAATATTTTTAACAAAATAAAATTGCAAATGACCAATGACAAGGTAAGTAAATTTACGAGTTTCATTTTTATTGGAAAAAGCAGCTGTCAATGATGGCAAAAAGCCTGGACTTTCATTTCTCGTGGGGAATGGTTGTGTATAAGTTGAAAAATCGTAGGTTTTTAGCTGTTGATTTTTGTGAAATCTTGAGCTTTCAAATGGTCCAAAAGATCCTTGGAATTTTTGAGTATCCACATCTGATTTACACCACTTCTTGAATATATTGTTGCACAGCTCTCCTGAAGTTCTCCTTCCCTCCTGTTAATATCTTAGTGGGGATTAAAGAAAGAGGCTTGGTTGAATATTTACTGGAACCTGCTAGGTAACTTTGTAAGGATTCTTATGAAGTTTCGGAATCCAATATATATATGGTAGTTCAAATTTATTTTGGTACTTTGGGTATTACAAATATTTAAAACTGACATATGATTTAGAAGAATTTCTACCTTAGAAAGGGAACTATGATTATAAGTTGTATTACTACTCGTAGAATTAAATCCAAGTTCTTCTAAAAACAATTTATATAATGAGCCTAGCTTACAAAAGAAGACAACGTTAATTTTACGTTGCTACCTGCTTTGTCAGCATGGACCAGTGGAGTAAAACGTTTTTTTTTTAATTCAATTAAACATTAAATGATACAAATTTTTCTTAGCCGACGTTTTCCAATACAAAAATTGATTAAGGCTGCACCAATGCATTTATCCCTCCAAAATATACCTTGTATTAATTTTCATAAGTTTTATTTTGCTTTAAACAGTTTTGGTATCAGCGTTTTAAGTGAGTTCTTTATATTATGAAAGAAAACCTAGAAGATAATTCTCTAAAATAAGAAATTCCCCAGGCAATACTTCAGATATTTCCTATTTAGACCCTTTTAATGACATGTCAAAACCTAATCAAATTTCGACACTTTAGTTACTAATATTTTGATAGGTGTCTAAATAATGATTTATGAGTAAAAATCTAATTTCAGAAAGCGAATGAGGTGTCATTTCATATAATGTTTATTTTAAGAAATAATTAGCTCAGTTCGCATCTGCGTAAATCACATCTGCAGATAATTAAACCAAGTTAACAATTTTCTAAACATGAATTGGTTAGAAAAAACGGACATGAGTGTTCACAAATATTATGTATCCCTGGTAAAAATCATCGTCATAGCCGGTAGGTTTTTGTGAAAATAGATACTATAAGATTTTTTAATGAAATAGAAAAACACAAGTGGAAAACTTTGCCAACCTAGATTGTATTTTACATTTTATCATCCCAGATAATAGACAAGTTTTCAGCGTTGTAACAATATAAGGTAAAGAAACATATCGGCTTTTTGTTCATAAGAGTAGCTTAATTTTCATTTCTTAAATCATGCAAAAATAGCAAATCCATGGTTATTAAATGAATTGACTGCACTTATGAAGAAAAACATTCCCCCAGATGTTTGTTGATGTTGCACCCATTACAAACTGGGAAAATTATAAGAAGAATAAAAATGCACTTTATATAATGCAGTTTATGTTGGGGAGACATGTTTTGGTGGTCTTGTTGACAATATTTCTTGTTTCTTTATGGGAAATTTGACCTGAACAAAAGTATATATCATTTAAATTTTAATTGAATTTCAACACAACTCTATTTAACATTAACTAAGTTGTACCCAGCTTATATTACAAGAAATGAAGTATGTGTGAATTTGGAAAACCTCTAACGTCCTCGCATTTATTTGTAAAACAATATATTTTGAACTCAAACTGTAATATTTTCAACTCTGATCAAAATTGACATCATATTCCCTCGACAATACGTAAATATTTAAATTGTAATTGTATGATTAAAGTTTAAAAGGTATAGTATTATGTACATATACCTCCGTACTATCTGTAAATAATTACGTTAACTTTATTCTCTTCCTCTCCTTACCTGTAGAACACTATAACTACAATGCCAAAATCTGTAATCCGTGAAATCTTCAGAATTTTGAGCTCAGTGTAATGTTCGGAAAAAAGACATTCAATATAAATAAGCATATGGAGAAATAATCATTGCAATGTTGTATTTTCAAGCATTGTATTTGCAATTCTCACCGCTTGAAATTCATGTAAAATTAATTAATTTGACAAAAGGGAAAATCTAAAGAAAATTCTTTTTAAAAATAATAGTTTAACAATTAGTATGAAAAACGTCAATCAGCATTTGACTTAAATTGTATTTGTCGATAGGGCGATAGCGTCGACTATAGAACTTGAGAAATTATGACTTTAAACAAAACTTTTGAAACAAGTATACTTGTTTCCTCATGCAATTTGTTGGTAAATACATGTACATGTATCTTTCATAAAAAGACTTTAAACAAAACTGCATAAATAGTATAGCATCATGCAGTTTGCTAGTAAATAGCTTTTTTATATTATCTAGAGGAGATATAAACTTCAATGCAGGTGATAAGGATTTATATTGTTACGTAAGTAGGGAAACGAGAGAAAAGTTGAAGTCATCACGTTTATCTCAAGAGTTTTGTTCTAAGAATACTACTATTATATATATTGTCTTTTGTAGTAAAATACCCAAATATGAAACAGATGAACCATACTCTGTTGTGTCTTTTATTTCAAGTTCTCTGGGAAATATATAGTCAATGTATGAATGAAGTTACTCTTGTTTTAAATTGATAAAGCATATGTCTATATATCTGACAGTGAGCTTTACACTGGTAACAGCATACAAGCATTTCTTCTTATCATGAATGTTCTGTCCATAAATTCTGCTTCATAAAGAAGCACAATTAGTATTCATTGTAATTCCAACAGCTGGATAATATATATTTAATTTCCGAGTTCAGAAATTGTGTTAATATGTACTAAAATGAAATACATGTAAATGAAAAGAATGTAACAATTTTTTTGAAATGTAAAAGACAATATGTAAACTAAATATTTTCTTTTATGCATAACATTGGGTGGTTTTTTTTCAAAATAATGATTGTATTTGCCTGTCAGACGTGTAAAATTGAATCTTTCGAATATCATTGAATTAACAACCGCCAATTTAAGTTAATAATTTCATTGGAAAAAGTAAAAATTAGGTGTCATTTTGACAAGGCCCTTCTGATCGAGGGTATTTTCTTTACACTCTCTGCAAATCCCTGCAAAAATATTATTTTTATTTAAATGGCACGTCCAACAAAGGGTCTGAAGCAATGATCAGGTTTTTAACACGGACAATGGTCACCAAACGGAAAACTCTTTAGTTTATATACATAGGACATGGTATTATAGTCAAGATTTAGCCTAGTTCACAGTACTTAACCGGTCAAGAAGAAATGCTTGCAATTGTCGGTGAATTCATGAAATTTCAAGATCTCTTTTATGTCAGTATACAAACTTTTTTAACAATTTAAAAAGAAGCAGTTGTAAAGAAACAAGAAATTCTTTATTTATATCTTAGTTTTAATTAGCTACAAATGTATTTTAAAGAATTGGGCATCTTTCAATGCCTTTGAAAGGAAATGACAAATTTAGGAAGGTAGCTGAGAAGAGAATAAAATAAAATTTTATTTACATGTAGAACAAAACGGTAAGCATACTTTCCACTTTCAACATTTTGATTTCTTCAACATTTAGACTGTTAATGAAGACGATCTTTTAATTTTTCTTTTAATGAGTGTGATATGAGCCCTGCCCTACAGCAAGTCTGCTGCCTTTTTGAACTTAATCTCAATAGTTTGCCATTATCTATTAAATTCTTCATAATTTCGGTGACGCTCTAAGCCTTTTATCATTCATGTCTTGGTCAAGACAGTAATTTACGATAGCTCAAATCTAAATGTACCATCCATAATGTCCAATTGTCAATATTTACACGGAGGGAGCATATATATGTAGTCATTAATAAACAAATAGAGTGGGGTTTAAAATTCCACTGAGAAGGCCGCTGTATGGCTCACTGACCTCAGAAATAGATGTACCATGCATTTCCGTTTCTAATGAATGAGGTGCTATATTCACAACTGAGATGAAAACACAGTGACGTCAGGAGCGGAACAATGAAGAGTGCACCCCGTTCAATCTGGGGTATATTATATAAATACTAGTGGCCTAGTTGTGTTCATATAGAATATAAAAAGGTTAGGTTATAATATGATATATGTAACAAGACATACGCGCCAGGATTAAGGCTTTGCCAGAATCCATAGTGAGCATCCAATATCAACAAGTTCATGTGCGATCGCAGTAATTGAACACTTTGCAATAATGATACTCAGGGACTTTGCAATATTTATTTGTGTTCTAACTGGATTTCCATCTTCTTCGAAAGCACGATATATACCATCCGTTCAAGTGAATGTGAAAGGGGGAATGCCCACGGCCAAAATCGTCATCACTGTCATGAGAAAGCGCGCCAAATACTGGGATTTCTGGCAGGTCAATAATCGTAAGTATTAATGTATGGAATGTAAACAAAGGGATTTTTATTTAATATTTGCATGTGTTTTCTCTCCTAATTAAAGATCAATATGTTTAAAGTGAATTTTATATGTCATATGTCACTGTCTTCTGGTAATTAAAATAAATGAGGATAGATTAATTTTTGTGGGTCACTTTTACGCGGTTAATAGAATCTCTACTTGACGGCGATTTAAATCCACTAAAATTTTGCAACGTTTGATATTTACATTCTTGTGTTATCAATGAAAAAGATTGTAAGGAATTTGTACATAGGTAGTTCATTTAAGACGATCGACTTTGCAGAAAAGGATTCCTGCTAAGCCACAGCTGATGCTTTATCGCAGTGAAGTAAAAAGGATTCAATATAGAGCAGTTTCTCTGTTAGTTTAATCTGTCGACATGTTTATCTTCCTACCAATTAGAAACCATAAGTGCGAGATAGCATTTTTAACCCGCAAATCATTGTACATGGTTTATTTTCGTTTCAACACTTTCCAATGATAGATAATTAGGTATTTGAAATGACAACAAAATGAAGAGGTGTACGCTTTGTGTCTTCTATAAAAATGTTTAACAACTGTAAATAATTATTGACACTATAATAAAACCAATAATTTCATATGCACAATTGTAAAATATAAAAAAAAAACCTTATAGATTGATACTAGTAATTGAACATATTCATTTAGTATATATTATTATATCTCTTATATTTGATCGTGTCACTTTGCATGTCAACAGATGACCTACCTAACCTTGCCATACCCTGATTACACTAGCCCTATAGTATGAATAAACATCTTGAGAATTTCATTCACAATTCAATGATGTTTAAACTTTATCTAGCCCGTCACTTCAAGAGGATAAATATTATCAACATATTAATACATTCAGCTCGATATTTCGATATATCGACGACTTATTATCAATTAAAAATACTTAATTCCATTTATATGTCGACTCTATATATCCCAGTGAGCTTGAATTAAAAGATACCACAGAGTTTTACACTGTCTGTTTTATATCTGGATATTTAACTTAAAGTTACCAGTAAAACGCATTCATGGTAACCCATCATCAAAGCTTTGTGATAAACGTGATGATTTCAACTTTTTAATCATCAATCTACCTTATTTGGTTAGCAATACAGCCTTATCACCTGGATTTGGGGTTTATACCGGGTATGTCTTATTTGTTTCGATTCACAAGAGCATGCTCTACGTATGTACGTACATGTATAAAGAATTTCTAAAACTAGGTAAGCTTTTGATAAAACAAGTTGCTGAAACAGTCTCATTTGAAGTCATCATTTCGCAAGTTCTACCATAATGGTCGATTCAATGACTTTGTCAGCAAGTACAAATTAGAATGAGTCAAATACTACCTGACGTTTTCTAACTTATTGCTAGACCATATATTACAAACTGAATTGTCTACGAATTTTCTAGTTTTTCCTGATCATAACAAGGAGCACAAGGATATGACCGGTCGGCAGGGGATGCCCACTCCTCCATAGCACCTGATCCCATATCTCATGATTAAAGGTCCGTGTTTGCTCTGATCCTGCTCTGTATTGCTTAAAATAAATGGACTTTGAGTTTGAAAACATTTGCTATCTCTGTATAATGCAATTTCAATTTAATTCATTAACTTCTCTTGCAGTAGGTTTACATTTTCCATATACATGTATGTTCTTTATGACGCTTCCAAATTAGTATAGCTATAGCAAGCATCAAGTTTAAGATTCAAATATTCACATTGAAAAAGTGCAATATTCAGGCAACTGACTGTTCACTCTTGGGTAGGGGAATAAAAGGCAGAAATCAGCCAATAAGTTATCAGTAAAGCAGAGCTCTGTATTTAAGTCACCTTTCAATGAAGCAGAAATCAACCACCCAGTCACTTTTAGTAAAACAGAGCTCTGTCTTTACTGTAAACCAACTTTTATTTGCGTGCGAGAAATATCTGCGAGTTCCGCGACCTACTCTAACTCGCGAATATTAATCGCAGCGAGCCATTCATTTTCCTCAAGTATTTGTAGAAAAAGTTTCAATCGTCGCAGATTGATTTCAAATTGACGAATCGCAAATAAAAGATGATGATAATTAGTTTACAGTAATTAAGATACTAAAAAAGCAGGGCTTTTCATTTTAAGTTTCCTTTCAATACATGAAACATATGGAGAAAACGAACAGTATTCAAGATCAAAATCCATAAAACAATACAAAACAGGAGCAGAGCAAACAGGAAAGGTGGGATCAGGTCACATGGAGGAGTGAGTATCCCATGCCGACATTTTATATTCTCTCTCTTCTTACAGTTTACTGAATGACATACTTTTGTCTTGTTATTGAATGTTGTCTAGAACATTTTAACTTAATTCTGCTTCATAGTGGGATATATTTTACATTATAAGTTCACATTTCATTACTTCGTTTTTTTTTTCTTTTTACATATAATTAATGAAAGGAATCATAAATAAAATTTGAGAGTCAATTTCAGATATATGTCCGCCCTCGCTATGCTTTATGAAGGAAAACAAACGGGTGAAACCTAGAGGAACTGGTAAGTTAACATTTCACTTACTAAAGATCTAAGCTTTATCCTCTAAATTTAAAATTTCTTCAAATAAATTTTCTTAGTACTGTGGAATCATTTTATTTCTTTGGGGCTCAATGTTCGTGGTTAAGCAAAATGTTGCTGGTTCGTGGGACAGTTAATTCTGGCGTTACTCATTTACTCAGTAAATCCAAAAAAATAAATATATTGCAAAATATTTGTTCTGTTGGTACAAATTCATGGATAAGGTTAACCCACAAAATCCACGAACTTTGGTCCCCCGCGAATAACGGTGATTCCACGGAATAAGAAGATAGATGGAAGGAGAGGCGCGTGGATGAAATGCATTTACACTATATACTGTATAAATTCAGGTAACAGTGCATTTTACAATGGCGACATCGTCCTTGATGAAATGGCTGCAGACATGATGTATGGACCTGTAAAAAGACGTCGAAAACGAGCGACAACTCGTATGAAAGACCGGTTATGGAAGGATGGCATAATGTACTATCAATTTGCGCCATCACTTTGTGAGTTATATCTTTCCGTCTACGCTTTATTTTAGATCGAAAGATCTATTAATCTCAATCACTGAATTCTCTTATAGCATTCTTTAAATTTTCTCAAAAAAAGAGAAGAAAAGAAATTATTTTTTATAACAATAGTCTTAAAGCTACTAGTATTTTATTCATTTTTAAAAATATTTTCTGCTCAGAGACGGTTTAATCTAAGTTTGACTTACTAGTAGTTAAATCACCCAAAGTTATTTTTCTTTTTTTACAATCTCACTTCACGCCCTATTAAATTTGATAATTAATCATATAATATAAACTATTGAAAAGAAACTGAATGCCCTCGTCTCTTTAATGTTAATTTTCTTTCAAAAAACCCTTTTCAATTTAAAGGGCCATTTTCTGATGAACGGGTGTATTATTTCAATATTACCATTGTCATGATAAACGTCAAATCATCATCGTACTCAAAACCCCAAACAACATTCCTATACGATTGAAAATATTTGGTAACGTATGTATAAAAATACGATGTCATTTTTCTAAGTTTTAAAGAATATTTCACAAGAACACTTTGTAGAAGTGCAACGATTTGATTTTTTCTTTTGTAATAGCATAATATTATCTTCTTTTAAGAAATCTTCATTACTATATGATTTTTTTCTCGATCAAAAATACTATTTCTGCTTCACCAAAATGGTGAAAAAAAATATATTTCGAAGACCCCTGAGAATTATGTTTAAAACATATATTTGATTATTTTTCTATCTTAAAACACTGATAGAATCAGTATACTTTCCTATCATTTAATGTATTAATTAACACTTTAATTATAAGGAATTTATTTATCAGCCAGGTCAGCCAGGAAAGCAGTCAAGAAGGCGATGGAACATATATCAAACAGGACGTGTATAGTATTCAAAAAGAAAAGGAAGAAAAACCCGGACTTTGTTAGATTCATCAGTGAACCAGGGTATAGAATTTGAGTTTTGTTGGCTATAAAATGTACATTATACAATGCCTTTCTAAAATTATATTTTAGCAATTTAAATGACAGTAACACTTACTGAATATGATAAAAAAATAAAATGTTCAATAGGTTGTAGTGTGTGACTGAAGGAATAAAATGCTACTTTTGATATGAAAGTGAACGCATCTTTATAATATACATGTACATGTACTGCAGTTTCCTCTTTTACACTTAGTACCTATAACGTTTAGTTGACGGTAGCATTTAAGTACTAGGCTTTCGTTATATTACGTCATTCTTTTAGCTCTCTGTATATTTAAAAATTTTATTATGTCTCCCCATTTACCTTCCCAGCTGCTGGTCCAATGTAGGCCGCGTGGGGGGCCTGCAAAATCTCAGTCTCGGTTACGGATGTGGGAGAGAGGGTACGGCAATTCACGAAATTAACCATGCGCTAGGATTCTGGCATGAGCAGGTCATAATTTTAAAATTCATTATATCTTTAAATGAAGAAAATGATTATCACTATTCTTATTAATTTTTGAAAGAAAATTCAAATGAGTTTTTAGGTAGGAAAATAAATTAACTAGAAAATGAATGTTTTTTACCCTGTTTTCTTGTTTATTTTAGGCCCGATCTGACAGAGACAAATACGTGGAGGTTAACACGGATAATGTCTCCCCAAACTATATTGGAGATTTTGCCAAATTAAATAAAACAATTGCCGTATCAAGAGGGTACGCTTACGATTATTCCAGTATTATGCATTACAGTGAACGGACGTTTACCAACAATGGACTCAAGACAATTAAGGCAGGTGATGAAGTTGTGGTCGATATTCAGTACAGCGATTCATTAGAGTAAATGTTTGATGATCTTACGTATATTTTATGTTGTAGGTGATAGGTATAGGAAAAGAATTAGCTCTTAGGATCGGGCAGCGTGATGGTCTCAGCAATATCGACATTGCACAACTTCGAGATATGTATTTTTGCAATCGGAAGCAAGATAATGAAGAAACAAGTAAATGACTTGTAATTTATTAAATACGTGTAATAAGCATTTATATTTTTTGACATTTCTATATATATTCTGATAAAATAGAAAAGTTCTAAAGGCGGTTCTAATATTTGCAGCATGCCCAAAAGATTGGATAAAACACAAACGTAGCTGTTACAAATTTGTTACCCGCCCTAGGCTTCAGTATGCTGCCGCATACAAAGCATGTACGGAGTCCTTTAGCACCCTGGTCCATCTTAACACTGCAAACGAAGATAGATTTTTAAAACAATATTTAAAGAAAAACTTTAAAAAGTCGACAAAATGGCGAACAGGTGCTCGTAGAATAAATGATACCTTTGTATGGGACAATGGAGAAGACCGGAAGCCGAAGTCTATGACGTTTACTGCCTGGAATAGTGGTCCCCCAGAGGGATATTCTACCATGGTTCTTGGACGGGAAAACTCGACATCTGATTTTGCCTGGGAAGGGGCGTGGACAGGATCGGTCAAACAGCTTCCAGATCACGCATTCTCCTTCATCTGTGAACGGAAGGCGAGACGTATGTACAACTGTACATGTATTATGCAATCAAAATTATTCTTTGCTTACAGGCATACTAGAAGTTACAAAAAACAATTAATTTAGTATTGGATTTGTATAAAATAAAATTCCGTTTGACAGGGCTTTTTGTGTATTTTCCCCCTGTTTTATCTTGTCTGATTTCTCCTGTAGGTAAGTGCTTACCTCTAGAGTTTGAGGATGGGAGAGATTATCGCGGGAATCTCCAGCATACTGTATCGGGGATCACGTGTCAAGACTGGACATCTAAATACCCCCAACGGCACAGTCTGCTGGCAGGAATTACCGCAGATGTAAATCCAGACGGTCTGGGGGATCATAATTATTGTAGGAACCCATTCCGCATGCGCAGAAAAAGACCATGGTGCTTTACAACGAAAAAGAACGTTGAATGGGAGTATTGTGACGTCACTATTTGTAAAGGATCTCAAAATAACACAGTTGATAATAAACAGAAAAGAGAGAAACTTGTTTCCAAGAATAGTATATCGATATCTGAAAAGTTTGAAGAATACTCAAATAGTATATCAGAACAGATTAGCGCAAATAACGTTATACAGCCGTAGCAAACTTAGTTATACTTTTAATTCTTAAAAAAAAGTCTTGTAATAAATAATGTATATGCTTTTTGTTTTATTTAAAAAAGCGATGGCAAAATGCTTTGTTTTTTATTATTTTCTCTGAAATGGAAAATGAAACTTAAATCGATTATTTGTTTCAATTTTATCATGAAAAATTATACATGTGTTCTGAAAATCTGCAAGTAGCAAGAATTTTGACATATATTTTTCAAAATCATAGAAATTAATTTTTGAAATAAAACAAAGTTTTGCCTTTATCACTGTGATATACGCTAGCCAACGAAATGAATGTATTATCAATCAATTGACACATAAATTTGGAATCAATATGATTTGATTTAAGATCAGATCCCCACTGTTAGGTAGCATGTTATTGTTAATCATTTATTAGTAGATCTTTTTCTGTTTTCTTATGAAATAAAGTTTGCATAAAAATTCTACATGTAAAAAATAATTTTGTCGTGTCCTTTAATTTGACGTTAAGGTATATGAAATAAACACACAAAAATTCTACATGTAAAAAATAATTTTGTCGTGGCCTTTAATTTGACATTAAGGTATAAATTGTTTTATCAATTAACAAATAAACACAAAAATGTAAACCTAGTTTCACAATTAATAAACTAGGTTTATGACTGTAAACTATAGTTTACAAATCGTAAACTATCTCATCCCACTTCTGATGTTTTTTGAGGTCTGCGGTTTGCTCTGTTCCTGAAATGCAATGTTTTAATAGACGTTAGAGCTTAAATACAGCTCGAGGACATTTCATTGTTTTATCAATTAACAATATTCATTTTCTATGGTTTACAAATGTAAAATATAAATTCGCTATAGTTTACACTGATAAACTATTGTGAAATATTTTTGTGAACGTCACTGAACTAGAAATAAACACAGAATCTAACACAACTGAATTTGAATGTTTTACAAAAGAACCATGTGAAAATTCGGGTTGACTTTGGATCGATCCTTTTTCATCTTTGTGTATCTAGTGATTATGTAAAATCAAATATAGTATGATTATACTGTCCTTGTTGGCAAATACACTTATCGCTAAGACTAATTTTAGCTGCCATGCTTCATACAATATTAAATGATCCTTTTAAACTAAATTTGAATACGGAGCAATCCGTCGACATGATAAATGCATATGGTTCCTGAGGCCGTGACTGTGGACAGGGGATGCTCACTCCTTCTAGGCTTCTGATCCTACCCTGTTTACTGGGATCCATGTTTTGTACTGCTTGCGATTGGTAAGGTTTACTTGATTTTTCGAGATCGATCAAAAATCCCTCACCTTATTACATTCTATAAAAAGTGATTCGGGTTCTTCGAAGCTCACATACTTTCTTTTGAATTAGCCAAGAAACCCCTTAAGATAAACAGATCCAAGCAGGAATTAGTGTTTAGTTTGTAAATAAACGTGCCAAAGTTCACGTGAACTTCCTAGTTGTCCCTATTTGTAAACGTAAATTCTCCGATTCCTCGATAAGGCATAAACTGAGTGCATTGTTTCTAAAATGGCAGCAGGCAGCATCTCGTATAGTCCCATTTTCCTTTTGGTTGTAGCAGTAAGTATCTTTTTTTGTATTAATCCCTTTAAAGAGACTGGGTAGTCAAACAAATTACGTCTAAATCCACAAAAGATGGTAAATATACTTTTGTTTTAACCAAACTATTATTTCATAAGAAACAGTCAAACATATGCTAAAGCCAATTATATACAATGTAATTCTTTTTTTTCCAGCAGGTTTTATTAAATAGTCTTAAAATGGTCATGAACACCCAGTCTTATAGAAGTTATTACATTGTTCATTTTTTGGAAAAAAGTATTGTTTTCTACCAAATTAATTTTTAGTATCATCCTACAAGTTCTTCCGAGCCACATTGTTTATTTCATTTTCAGCAACAATTTTATGCTGTCAATGTTTTAATCTTAAAGTACGCCAAATTTTCATTTTTTTGAAATAGTTTTTATTTTGTCATAGTTATTATTTTATATATACATGTATAATCATTTTTACAAGAATTTCTGATCTTTGTTCACAACCCTAACTTGTACTTTTAATATAAGTGTAAACTTCATTAAAAATAGATAACATAGATAACATTTATCATTTAAGTAATAAAGTCTAAATCGTTTATTATTGATGTAAAACACTTTTATTGTAAATATATAAGATTATTAGTATGGCATTTATATATATAATCATTTTTACGAGAAAATCTTATATACTTTATATATTGTTATATGTGTTATATGTAAATAAACTCTCTAAGTGAAATGCTGAAGGACTATTTTCAATTTGAAATTAAAGGCAGTGGTCTTTGGAGGACATCACCATCATCATAGATCCACCACTACCCCCAAGCCCACCACCCCAACTACGACACAAAAACCGACCCCCGAGTCCTTCGAATACGGCTACACATTCTACTTTTATGATCCCATTTCTGTAAGTATAAATTGATAATTTTATTAATTTGGTTGATTCATGGCAACACCTGAACCCATCTCTGATGTTGTGGAGGTTCGTTTTTGCTCTGCTCCCATTTTGTATTGTTTTATGGACTTTTGAGCTTGAACACTGTTCCTTATATACGTATATATTGCATAACTAAACGTGTTATATACTTTATTTTATTAATTAATAATAATACTGAGTATATATAATTATTTTGGAAGGTGTTGTAGTCAAACTGATTTAAAAAAAAACTACACTTTTTATAAAACAATGTAATACTTATATTTTTACACCTTTACACGCTAAAAGCATTTTCCATTGTTTTTTAGCATTACATATGCTCTATCCACGTGACGAGATTAACTAGATTATGTATGTGTTACCATGTACCATACGATGAACGGGATACTGTGCATGATCAACAAACTGCTATAAACATCGAGGTAAGTAAAGACGTAATACGCAATTATTATCAAATATGATTTCCCAGAGAATATTCCTACTTTGAACAGCTAAATATTTTGTACAAAAACGTTTGTGAATGTTTAGATTTAGTTTGATAATTTAACCTGTTATTATAACCACAGCAGGTAACGACCGCCATTGAGATCAAGTATGCTTAAAGAAATATTGTTTATTTTACAGTTTGTATTGATTTCTTAACAGAAAAGGATGTATGCCTTGTATGCTGCTGGACACCACACCCCAATGAACGATCTTCAGTACTATAGCAAGACCAACTACGACATGTGTATCGACCACGGCAGGCACCTCAACACCACTATAGAGCTTGTATATCCGTAATAGGTCATTAAAATATATTTACACTTATAGACAATAAACGTCATTTTGAAGTAGTTTGGTTTTTGTTGAATTTAACAAAAATTCTCTCATAAATAGAGAGAGAGGCATATATTTTAGCATATATATTTGAATTTTGGGAGAAAAAAATTGATTGTGTTATTTATCCTTGAATCAGCTAGAGGTTAAAATTAGCACCTTACAACACATATAATATAACAATGAGTTCTTATTCATATTTGATTTATTCCTGATAATTTGTTGGATACTTAAGATCGTTTTGAAGAAGATGAAATAGCTATTTGTTCGTCGTAGATCTGTGCATATATCTCCAATAACATTCCTGTCATAATTGTATTCTATTTCAATTTTTTTTTATCATTCCATTTTAAGCATTTGATCAAAAAAAATTATTGTATTGAGAATACATAAATTTTGTATTAGCAAATATATGGTATTGAAACTAAGAAACTCGATCGTTGTATACTTTACTTAAGAGTAATATAATTACAAACAGCATACCGTTCTTATATTAAAAGGTAGGTATTTTTTATTCATAAATCATAAATGTTTTGAGATTTTCCAACTAGTCTCCCTTAAAAACTATATTTGTACAACCTCTTTGTTACCAAAGAAGAAAGAAATCTATTTCGACTTGACAAGTTAAAAAAGATATAAAAATAATCAAAATATCTTAATATATACTGTTATTAGAGACAACATTATGGATTTTGAAACACTTCATATTCATGTCACAGAGTGGAATATGATTCACGTTTTGATAAGATTTGTACTTATTATTGTACTGTATCAGTGTAATGGAATGCTTAAATAGATAAGACAATAATATATAAATATGTTTCATACAAATTTTTGTTAAAGAATTATGCTTTAAAGAAAATTCTGTCTAATTTCATTATATAGCTCAAGGATTCCAGTTTTATTCTTTTTGGTGCCATAATGCCCAACTGAGGATTATTTTAACAATATAAAAATATTTTTAAGTAAGTGCTTTTTAAACAACATTGCCACTTTTCCTGAGTATTAGAATAAAATTAAAATTTTCGAAAGTGTATAGTATCATGACAAAATTATATTTTAATATCATTTCAGAAGAAAAAATAATATAAACCTTATTTCAATATATAAGTTATATGAAACAGAAAATTAATTTTTGTATGGGTTTTATTGATACATCATTGCACTTTCACAAATTTTAATTTTATTCATAATACTTAGGAAAAGTGGCAATCTTGTTTTCATATAAATCATTTCATAATATAGAATATCAGCTGAATATAAACAGTATGCTTTTATCATGTGATGTCGCTAAATTAAGCACTGATAAACTCATCTAATCTATCTAGTTGTTTTATTACTCTGACTATTCATTACGTCATCCAAAGAACAGGCTTCATTATTTGATGCACTATAACGCAGTTTTATAAGGAAACAGAAAGATATATGGTTTTCGTATTTTTATGAGCACAAGCTAGATGGTTTTCATTTTGCCCTTCAATCGCTTAATGCGAGATTTTAACATACATCTGATTGTTGGATTAAAGCAGACATCCGATACATTTCATGTCTGGCCCTTCGCCTGCCATGGTCTTCACACAATTGGTATGAAAAAAAAGTCAGTCATCATTTGACGTAATGACCTTGTCAGCTGATAAATACAATTTATCATTGAGAAACAAAGCTGTTTAAACGTTTCATCAACTTGATTGTTAATCCATTATTTATACACAGAATTGGCGATGGATTTGTTTCCTTTGTTTCCCGATAATGACAGGTATGACCTGTCGGCTTGGGATGTTCACTCCTCCATGGCACATTTATCATATACCTTGGTTGAGAGATAACTATTAATTTATTTTTCTAGTACAATATCCAATATGTGTCAGACTCTGTTGTATGTTTCTTTTCATTTTCAAAAGTGTTATTATCGTATAGACAAAATGTTGCACAGTGTTTATGTACTGTACGCCGTCGATATAACAGTATGTAATCGAGTTGAAAGTCACAACAAATGTTTTCTTTCTTTCATATATTAGATTGTTTAACGAACTCGGCATCCTATGCATACAAAAAGGTCCTCATTATAACCTACATATATGTATATGTTAAAAGACAAAACTTTTAAATAAGATCATAGAAGATGTTATTGTTAATACTCCGAGGTATTAATCGGGATTTCTTTCCTCAAAGTTTTAGTTTTAAATTCAGTATGTTTTTTTTACACAGCAGAACTGTCTTTCATCAAATTAGATATAACACTGTGTGAAATGTAGTTTGGAAAATATGTTGATTTACTTCTATATATAGAGATCTAGAATCCCAATGTCACAAGTGAGATAAGAACATTTTCCCTGTCCAAAACATCATGATTATGGACTGTAAATTGCTATTACTAATCCAGCTTAGTGTGTTATGTCTATTGTTTGTGAGTATCAGTTGAAAAACCATTACCAGCAGATAAATGATATTTAATGAATCAGTTAATATGCAGTTGTTTTCAGGAAAAGTATATATTTTATAGTTTTTTTTTCAATTAGATTATAACGTTTTATGAAAATTTAACATAAGTTATCATTCGCTCATTTCTAATTTTGACCATAGTGAGGCATTTTGATAAAGAGAGGTTCGTATTAATAATATAATTCGTTTTAGTGTAGAATGTTACGTACAAAATGTACTTCACACCTGCTCTTTCTAGCATGAAACCAATCCTGCTACTATAGATCATGCTTCTACAACTAGAGAGGTGACGACCACGACTCCTCGTCCAACACGGGAACACCCAGAATGGACCAACTCTTTCTACTACTATGATCACTACTCCGTGAGATTTATATTCTTATCAATATTATTTAGTATTATATGATTGAATAATTCCTATCTTTCTGATTGGCTGAGATCCAAATATGTGGAAGAAATGCTACGTTATATTTACCTGCACGTGACGTTCCAGGTGAATACAAGGATTGATTTCCCCTACATTGATCTAAAAATAGATCTGGAAATTCCAGATTGATACACATTGTTTTAGAAAGCTAAATTTGAACGACTATGACTTTTTTCATGTGAACAAAATATATTAAGCGAATATATATTTTGGGGTGAGGGTGGTTAAAGGAGATACTTTTTAAACCGTTTCTTCTCAAATTGCTTCAATTTTTTTCGTGACATTCTGAGATTTTTCAAAGGTTGCAACGCTGTTTGTTATTATTTTAGCACTACCTTTGCCATTTTCACGCCTCCAGACTTATACAATACTGCCACTGCTACCATGTTCCTTACGAGCATCGGAGTGATTTCCATTCTCCGCTTAAGATGTTTGAAATGGAGGTAGGAAGTAACATATGACCCTTTCTTCGTAACAATATTTATATATAACAATTTTCTAAACATTTTTAATATACTTGTAATGATCTAATCCATACAAAAACTGTTCTTTGTTTTGTTGTATTTAAAAATCAATAATTTTTTTTAAAAGCCAAACAAAATTCTTTATCATTCTTTTCTCTATTATGTCTTTTTCAGTTTATCGTGAAATACCAAAAATGTTTATAAAATTAATTTTATCCATAATACAATGATAAATCATTAGTCTTCTTCTATAGATATCTGTCGAATGTTTTTTTTTAATTTACAAAGAAACATATGGCGGAATTGTACATAGCTGGGAACCATGTATTGATGAATGATTTTCAAATATACAGTAAAGTTAACTACGACATGTGCCACGGCCATGGGAGAAGACCCAATGTTACCATATATCTATTGTACGACAATAAGTGAACACATATACATAATATATCGTGTGACATTAAATTATAATTTTCTTAATATGTCATGTTTTTTTTTATTTTGAAGTGATATAGGCGGTCACGAGACATGCTCTTTGGCGTTCTGTCACAGAAGCTTAATTTTTTTCGGCTTTTGTATTTCTTACCATGCAAGTCATTTTTTACTACAAAAACAGTCCATTTGTCAGAAATGGCATAATCTCGGCAATTGTATGGGTGGATAATGATATCATTTTGCAGAATGTGCATGATGACCATCAAAACCCAAGTCCTCTGTCTTTTGAGCGTCGTTTAATTCATGTTGATAAAGTATGGGTGCCTTCAATTTATCATATCTGATAAAACAAAGTAAACGATATATTTTAGAGATTTAATAATAATACCGTAAATCTGGAAATTTTTGCTGTAGATAAATTTTTAGCAAATTTGCCAGTTCATTGCATTCGCAAAAATATTTTTCTTAAAAATAAATTACCATTAAGAAAATGTAAACAAAGCTGTGGTAATTCGCAAAATTTTGAAACGTAAAAATTAATCAATAGCTTTTTGACCTAAATTCGCAAAAATAAATCGACGTAAAAATTTCCAGATTTACGGTATTATCGTAAAGATATTTATTTATTTTTCTAACTGTAACTTGGCGTTCTTTAATATCAAATTGCTTAACAAAGGACACGTCTCTTTCCCAGTTTGCTTTCACTGGGCAACAGAACAAACATCATTTTAAACATCTCCCTTCCTTCATTTAAACAATCAATCCAATTAATGACAAAACTTATGGCAAGTCTTTTGTCTTCATAAACCATGTACAAATTATTATAAACTTCTGCAAAGGAAATTTCAGACATACGTTTACCTTTACAGCGTTCGTTTCACATGTAGGCAACAATAAACGTTTTTTGTCACAATTGATCTACCTTATGATGTCATATCACACTGTATACACATGGGCAAAACGTTCCATTACATATGCTATTTATAGAACATGTGTATGACTGTATTTGTGCCAAATTTAATTCTGATCTTAATTGTGGTTTAGCAAATAGAGAGATAGCTCGCAAACTTTTTGATCACCCGTCGTATAGTATAACGTATTTTCAGTGATATAGAAATATTCAAGCTAAATTTGATCTTATTAGCAATTGATGACAAAATATGATGAACATGATTGGAAATGTATACAATTGTAAGACAGCAAACATTATGAGAGAAAGTGATAATGAACTTTGAATCAGCTTTTTAAAAATTAAAATTTAATTTAAAAAAAAATCAGAAAAATTGCAAGCCTGGCGTTTATATTACCCCGATATTTACTATTACTAGTGAACTTTTAAATTAAAAAATGAAGACAATACCCTGCTCAAAAATGTAGAGTAAGATTCACATTTTGATAAGGATTGTACTTATTATTGTACTTTGCAATGTAACAGAATACGAGGGTTGTCCCGTAAAATCGTGGACAAGTTGTCTAGTGTAAAACAATAAACATCACTGCGTTCTGAAATTTTCACTATTTTTTAGTACATATTTTAGTAATATACACAGCATATTTCAGATAAATATATGCATAAATAAACAAATTATAGGATTTTATGCCATGTATTGTATCACCTTACGGCGCATCGATTATAACGTCAATGTGTCTAAAACAGCGTCACGTTTTATCTTTGCTGAAAATAAAGTTGGATGAGTCCGACTTAAATTTAGGAATTTCATTGATACACATTCTTTAGTCTCCATAAACAGTCGAAGAACCAATTGGAACCCTCATGCGATTTTCTGAAGGTTTATCAGTAAGTTACGGACAATATTCTCACCATCATTAACTAATAGAAAATCTCATATCGGCGGTCTACTGTGACAGCTTCTATTGCTATTACATTAGGAGTTTATAAGTATGTTTTTACTCCCCAGGGACTAACAAAAAAGACTTCGCTAAGAAAACTCCTATTTTATTTGTATACTTAAGATATGGTGATATTTTTATTATCTTTTTTCTTCTATGGTCATTTCAAGTCTTAAAAAAAAAATTAAAACGGAACTGCTCTCCAGTGTGCCGTAACGTCATAAAACGTCGCCATTTATCGTGTGTTGTGTTTACCACTTTCCCATTTTGAATGCTCGAGAAACTGCCAAAAATGAAGCAAATGCCTTAAAATTTTTACAGAGACTACAAAATTGATTGTGGAATTCAATTAGGATAATTTTAATCCAAAAAGTATTTAAAACTTTTACAAAAATTCAAACTTGTGTATTAAAAAATAAAACCTTCGCTTTGAAAAATTCAGTGCAAGTTAACCAAAAGCCCGTGCACATTCAATCATAATAAAATCTTTATTTTTGCCTATATTTTATAAAAAAAAATTATCATGCACTTTAATATGATAAATAAACATTTACTGAAATTTTCAGCTCAGTGCGCCCATTACTTTTCGAAAAAAAAAACGCTTTGTCCACGATTTTACGGGACAACCCTCGCACTTATATAGATAAGACAAAAATGTTTAGTACAACCTTCACGTCAAAGGATAATATACAAAGTATGGACAGAGAATTCGCTCCTATTTCAATATATCGCTCAAAGTTACTAGTGTCAACTTATATCGCTCAAAGTTACTAGTGTCAACTTTCTTTTTAGCTGAGATGAAAAAAAAAACTACTTGTCCATAAGCAGATGATTCGCTTAATTAATCCCCGTTGTTTTAGAAAAGAAATGCCGCTGACTAAATTTTGATACCTTGTTTCGATATAAATCATTTCACGATACAGACTATCGACTTGATATTTACAGCACAATTTACGCTCTGTGGCTTATTATGCTGCCTTATAATCCCGTTTTTGTCCCCCGCTTGAAAAGTGGGGGATATTAATTTGTAATAGTAATAATTAACCTGTCCGTCCGAATATCCATCAACGTCTTTCTGTCTGTCTGTAACGCTTTCGTTTCCACACGATATCTCGAGAACCCTTTGAGCTTTTGCAATGAAATTTAGCATAGCAAAACTATGAATAAAGAAGACCCCTATTGATTTTGAGGTCAAAAGGTCAAAAAGGTCATAAATAAGCAAATTCTGTCTGTTAAAACACTTTCGTTTCCACACGATATCTCTAGAACCATTTGAGCTATTGCAATGAAATTTTACATAACAACTCCCTGTGGCCTAAAGAACACCCCTATTGATTTTGAGGTCAAAAGGTCAAAGTTCAAGGTCGTAAATTTATACATTCTGTCTGTGTGTAACACTATCATTTCCGAGCGATATTTCAAGAAGATTTTGAGCTGATGCAATGTAATTTTATACCAAAACTCCCTAGGACGTCTCTCGCCCCTCTCAAAGTGCCCCGCCCCGTTTGTTTTATTAGTATTTATAGTATTACATGTCGCTATTTTTAGTGCAGGGGCATGAGGAGAGTTATTGCGTATAAAACAGGTTCTCGGCGGACTTTATGTTCTTATTACATCTATTAGAACTGTTTAATAAAGGCTAAATAAATCAAACACCATGGATTGTGTAAAATTTTGAGAATACCGAACATGAAAACATGAATATATACATGTATGTGACTTCAGTTCTGCATATACTTCACTCCGAGTAAAGCGATTATTATGTCTCTCGCTTCAAATGTGAGAGGCCCCGGGATCGAATCTCGGTCGGACCTTTCTTTTTTTTTTCTTTTTTTTTTAAAATACTTTTTTTTTTTTTTTTACTAAATGATAGTATTCAGCATGTGAAATGAAAAATTTATGAGGTTATAAAATCATCATTACAGTGTGATAAATATTCCATATGAAAAAAATCTTCTATACACATAATAAAGAATAAGCAAAAAAAAATCTTTATATGCATATTGACATACATGTATTTTATTTCCTTCAGTATACATGTATACATTTAATAATTCTACAAATTGTCAGGGGGAGCCGACTTTTTCCCTAAGCGGGGGACACGAATTCTCTGAATTAGCTTGTTTTTCTAGTTACATTGTAACCCTGACATCAACTTTTCATCAAAAGAACCATCATCATTATTAGACGCACAACATAGGAGTTTAAAACCATTTATTTCAACAAAACTTAAATATAAAAGACAATACTGGTGATATTTAGAAGCAAGAAAACCTAAGGATTAATTTCAATTTTTTGTTTTTAGATTAAGTCTAGGATCCGACAAAATAGAACTTTCTTTCGTTGATATAACAAAGAGAAGTCACATTATGTGAAATATAGTTTGGAAAATAATTTGCTCTTTTAGTAGCAATACATAGAGAACTAAGTCACAAGGTCACATATAAGATAAGATCACACTGTCCAAAACATTGATGATTATGGATTGTAATTCGCTATCTTTCATTCTGCTTTGTGTTTTCTGTGTATTTTTCGTGAGTACAAATTGTTAGTAATACTTTCTTTTGACTGATAAAACTATTATAAAACACGTTAATCACAGATGTTTAAGGGGAAGTATATACCGTAGAAGAATATTTAGATATAGATAAGCCTTAAAATTTATTTGGATGTGGACACTTTTTTGCATGTTACATTTTTATGAAGCATTTACGTGCTAGTAGTTTATCCTCCTTTGATCATTCGTGCTTGTGTTTGTGACTGTATCGAAGCATTTCAACAACCTTCACCTTATTTGTATTTCACTTTTGTTGCAGCATTAGTAATATATACATTGTTTTACAAACCCCCTTTTTTATATCTAGCATGAAATCAATCCTGCTACAATCTACATCATGCTTCTACAACTAGAAAGGTGACCACTACAACCCACCGTCCTACCCAGAACACGGAGAATATTCCTATTCCTTCTACTACTATGATCCCAAGGCTTGTAAGATTTAATTTACTGAGCAATTTGTGTTTGCTGAGAAACAATATCATTTCCTTAATTTTTTTTCTTAATATTCAAAATGATTCAATGTCGTTATTTTTCTTACTGTTTTTATACTAATGTTTTCTATATATACCTATATATATCAAATGCATGAAATACCTTTTAACGATTTTGAGAATTTGCAAAAATTACACATCAAATTTATATATTCTAGCATTTCCTTTGCCTTTTTCACTCATCCAGACTCATACAGTACTGTCACTGCTACCACATTCCTTATGAACATCGTGATGATCTACATTCTTCTCCTCTAAAGATGTATTAAATAAAGGTAGAAAGTGATCAGTGAGGTCTTTATTACTGACAATATATACTTATGTAACAATCATCTAAACATGTTGTTGAATGATCTTCAAATGTACAGCAAACCTAGCTACGATATGTGCCACAACCATGGAAAGAGGCCCAATGTTACCATATATATGTTATATGACAACCACTGACTACACTGTGGCATTAAATAGTAATTTTCTGAAGATATCTTATTTTTGAGCTTTTGGGTGTTCAAATCTGTTTCAGTATTTATGGCAAAACTGTTAGTTTCATTCAAGACATTGAAAATTTTCAGAATGTTTAGTTTTTATTCTCATGTATATACAATAATCGAACATTTTTTATGGCGATGAAAACATACTTTGTGATAAAAAAAAATCCTGAAAGATCTTTTTAGTAAAATAAGTGCCTTTTGAAATATTCTTTTACGATTTCAGTACTAATTTGGAGCGATAACCACACACTACTAAAAACTTAAGAAGTCGGATCAGGTGCATTAGATGCGTGGACGTTTCAAGTCGACCGGTTTCATCCGCCGTGTACTCCTCATGATGAGGTAAAGAAAAAATCCTTGGACAATTCAATGCGTAAATAACGATCGGTCAATTAGTCAGTATTAGTCAGTATTCGACTTAATGAAAGATAATACATGTAATTTCGTACAAGATTATTATATAGACCAAAAGACGATTTTAAACAATGCTGTTTTTATTCTTCTTGTTTCAGTAATCAATTTTATCATAAAGTTACGTGGCTGGGTAAGAATAAACATTTGATTGTTGGATCAGATGGTGAAAGTATATTTATACGTAAATAAGGAAAGTTGACGAAAAAAAATGGGGAAAAAACTCATTGAGAGTCATTATATTCTTTGGACTATACAATGACAAATACAATTTACCATTTAGTCAAATGCTGAGTTCAGTTTTTCATACTAATTGTTAGGCCATTATTTACACACTGAATTGTCTACGGATATTTCCGCTATTTTTCACAGAGGATCACAGAGCGGGTATGAACAGTCGACAGGGTAGGCTTACTCCTCCATGGCACCTGATCCCAAACTTTCTAATTGTAAAAAGGTCGGTAGTTGATTTGTATTAATCAATCATAAACCAATTAACTTTAACATTTCAAATTGTTTTTCTAGAATACTGTAACTTCTGCCTTGCTTAAAATAAAAGAAATAAAAGTTTTGATATTACAATCAGAAAATATCTTTTTTTTTTCAATTTAAAATTAGATTAAGAAATTTAAAGCATACCATATTCATGTCACAGGGTGAAATAAGATTCACGTTCTGACAACGACTGTACTTTTAATTAAATTAACACGATGATAATAAATAAATAAAATTTTACGTCTTTTTTTATATAAATCATTTCCTGGTACGCATACAGAAAGTCAAATTAATTTTTACAATACACTTTTATTACACTAGTCACCACCTTTCTCGTTCCATAATCACTCTGACTAGCGACTACTTCACCAAAAGAATCGCCATCATTATTTGATGCGTATAAACATGTAGCTATAGTATTTATATAAGAAATAAGATATTATTTTTAATGCTCAGATGAGAAAAAATTAGTTGTCATAAGTGATTGATGTTACAGTTGTTTAAGAAAAAACCTTGATCTCATGTCATATCCCTATGTATCTATAAAAATGATATTTTATTTCTTATTTTTATATTTTCATTTTTTATTCGTGTGACTAGGAAAAAAGTCACATGTATTTAGACTTTGTTATGGAAATGCAACAGAACGTATCTAGACGTCATGTGGCGTCACAATCTGAACTTTCCAAATGGCTCATGCACTTGCTTTCCATATGCAAGACAATCGGATAACGTGACCAACTGTATGTCATTGAAAATTGAATTCCAATTTCATTATCATTGTTATATAAGGGAAGACATCAGCAAATATAAATATAAGTATATGTGTCAAAATACTTTTAAAAAGGTTTATCTGTCATAGAACAGTAAAATTGATGATATTTCCAGGGAATAAAGAAAAAGATCCTCATTATACTAGACGCATGAAATAACTTCAGGATTAATTAAAAAAATAGTTTTGAAATTAAGTTTGGGTTCTAACAAAAGAGAACTATATATTGATATAACACTGTGTGAAATGTAGTTTGGTAAATGTGTTGATCTACTTGTATATATACAGATCTAGAATCACAAGGTCAAACGTGAGATAAGATCAGATTCGCTGAAAACATTGATGATTATGGAATGTAAATTACTATTATTAATCCAGCTTAGTGTTTTCTGTGCAGTTTTTGTGAGTACAAACCAAAATAATACTATTTGTGAGCGATAAACAAGATGAATTGAACCGTTTATGCAGATGTTCTTAAGGAAAGTATATATATATGTAAAGTAACATCCAGTCGGCATTAATTTTACAGATTAAAGTTACACTACCTTCTAAATGACAAACATTTTTCTTCAAATTAGAAAAAAAAATGAAAAATTAACGTAGTTTAACTTTTACTCATTTCTGTTCGTGATTTTATTGAGGCATTTTATTAAATACTTTGAAAAACACAAGTTCACATTAATAATTATACATTATAGTGTAGAATTAATAATGTACTAAACTAGCTTTTTCCAGCATGACATTAACCCTGCTACTATACATCATGCTTCTACAACCAAGAAAGTGACCACTACAACTCACCGACCTACCCACGAACACGGAGAATGGACAAACTCTTACTACCGCTACGATCATTACTCCGTGAGATTTATATTAGTTTAAGTATTAGACAATAATGTGTAATCTTTTAAAATATTTCGTACAAATTGCTTCAATTTCGTATATTTTTTCAGACTGCTTATATTATACACATGTTATATAAGAATCTCTCCATGTCATTCCGTGCCATGTATGTTTAGAAGATTCAGAGATGACACGACAGATTGTATCTATTCTAGCACTTCCTTTGCCATTTTCACTCCTCCAGACTCATACAATACTGTCACTGCTACCACGTTCCATTTGAAGACCGGAGTGATATCCATTCTCCGTTGAAGATGTTTGAAATGGAGGTAAGAAGAAAGATATGGAGATAACGAACAGTATTCAATCTCAAAATCCATAATACACTACAAATTTGGAGCAGAGCAAACACGGACCTCCGAAATATCAGAGGTGGGATCAGGTGCCATGGAGGAGTTAATGTATGAAGCCTGTATTAGTGGCTATATATTGTATATGTATAAATTATATTTAGAGTGTACGATATTTAGCGGAAATTTAACTTTTGACCGAGTTAGCGTAGATTTGATTTAGCGCATTTCTTAATGCTCTATATTATGTATATATGTGTAGGACATTTGACATTGTACTTAAATTAGCGAAAGTTTCTATCCGCCAAAAGCGCTAAAAATAGTATACAGCAAAATGTAATACATTTACAGTACACTTATAGAACATTAATCTTTTAACATTTGTAACATTATTATAAAAATCCAATCTTTGCAAAAACTGTTCTTTCTTGTATTGTATGTTAAAATCAGAAATATGTATCTGTTTTAAATAATAAATACTTTACATCATATTATTCACTGTAATGTGTTTTCAGGTAAAAATTATTTTTAATGTGAAAAATTTTAATATACAGATTAAATAACCGATAACATAAAGCAAATATAACATTTTTTTCTGTGTATCATCACTTTGACAAATATATTTTTTATTTACAAAGAAACATATGGCGGAACTGTACGTAGCCGGGAACCATGTATTGATGAATGATCTTCGAATGTACAGCAAATTAAACTACGATATGTGCCACAACCATGGAAAAAGGCCCAATATTACCATATATAGGTTATACGACAACCTTTGATCAGACATTCCCATTCTGGCATTAAATGATAATTTTCTTAGGATGTCATGTTTCTGAGTTTGGGCGTGTTCAAATTTGTTTCAGTATTTATGGCAAAACTTTTAGTTTCATACAAAACATTGTAAATGTTCAGAACAATAAGGCCTTATTCTCGCTTTGAATAAGTTGAATAATTTCAAAATGCACTTATATAAAATGTAAAGACGCTTTAGTTAAGAAAACATGGTAGGCCTTGATTAGCATCTTTGAAAGCTTTTTAAATATTTTTAAGTATTTTATTCATGAAAAAAAAATTGATTCGATACCGATTTAATTTCTCATGGGTTCAAAAGATTAAAAAAAATTACTTGTATGTCAATAGCTTGCCTCGTATTTGAACTTAGTCGTGCTATATAAAATTTGGAGTAAACGAACAGTATTCAAGGTCAAAGTTCATTTAAACAATACAAATCAGTAACAGAGCATTAACGGACCTCCAAAAACATCAGAGGTGGGATCAGGTATCATGGAGGAGTGAGTATCCCCTGCCGACCGGTCACGAATGTCGTGTGCTCCTTGTCATGAAACCTGTCAGGAAAACTGAAGAATCCGAAAGAAATTCAAAGTGTCAACACTGGCCTAAAAATCGGCATTTAAAAAGTCAGTTAGCATTGATTTAACGATAGGTTGAAATTGTTGAGATGGTCATTGTATCGACCATAAAATGTCCGAAATGATGACGTTTTAGTTTATATTGTTACATTGTAGGACTGTTTTTTTTTTAGAAATTAAGAAGGGGGCTGCCAGAAAAGCTAAACTCACAAAAATGTTAAGTAATTTCTTATTATTAAAAATATCAAATAACATCTTTCTGGTTGGAAAATAGTAGTCTGACAAAATGTATGTGGTACTACTTTTCATTAAAACCACTACTGTATTTTTACTTTTCCAAATAATGAATAATTTTTCCAATAATTATGGAATAACTGTCTTATTTTTCGATTTCATGATGTGATCAATCGATTGGCTTGCGTGATAATTTTATGCATAAAATTATCACGCAAGCCAATCGATTGATCATCGTCATAAAATTGAAAAATCTTACAGTTATTCCTTATATTTACATGCTTTGATTCCGCCAATCCACATGCTCCAAGCCCTACTTCTGTTTAGCTGTGTCCCGCCCTACACATGTTTTTTCTTTTTTTTGGGGGGGGGGGGACCGCGCCAATATATTGATAGGGAAATAAAGTAAATTTACAATTTGTAATTTTATCTCGGACAAGACATTGGAAATGTAAATATATTCATTTAAAACTCCAAATTGTAATCAAAGTTCCTTCATAAAATTTTATGAACATGTCTCTGAAATGCTACACTACTTCGACTAAATAACTCTGCTAACAGATGAAGAGGAGAAACAAAAAACAATTTCCAATCAATTTTTACATATAAAAACATTTACGTGTGTAGCATCAAATGTTACAGTTGCAGTTAATATAATAGTGTGTTCATACTCATTCCGGCGAATTAAAAAGGAAGTGATAGTTTCTACAAACCAGAAGTCTCTGTCGAGACTGTAGCTCTACTGGTTAGAACTTATTACAAAGGATGAGAAAAGAAGCCATTGCCATCAGACCAAAACTGTAGAAAGAGTAGCGTTTTAAAGAAATTTCACAGACATTTGAATTTTTTGTAACAATGGCAACACCGTACATCAAAACTAAAAACCGATGCCCTAGTTTATGTATCTTAGTGTAGTCTACTTGTGTGCCAAGTTTTATTGAAATCAGACCACAATTGTTGGAAGAGTATCGTTTTCAAGGAATTTCACAGAAAATTCTATTTTCAGTAACCATGGCAACACTGTTCATCAAAATCAAAAACCCATGCACTATTTTATGTATTTTAGAGTAGTCGCCTTGTGTGCCAAGTAATACTGAAATCATTCCGAAATCTTATAATATCTTTTAAAACTATCAAAACTGTTTCCATAATTCATCAAACTATGACTTTTCTATATTCACATTTTCCATCAATCTCGTGTTAATACTATATTTGACAGTTTCATGAATTCAAAATACTTCTCCAAACACATTATATAAAAACATTGAGAAAAAAAAATTCTGCAAACTCAACATATTTTATATCAAAAATACATGTTATATTTCAATTTTGTTTAATTTAAACTTCTATTACATTATTTTTACGCAATATGACGTCTCTTTCTAATACTTGACAAACACATGCTTTTCTCAACCAAGTGTTGTGTCTGTTGTACGCTTCGCTCTCTAAAGAGAGCCAGTTCACTAATCGTCCCCGTTCATTCCATTCATGAAGCTTTTTAAGAATCATGTTCTTTGCCTCTTCCATAAACTACAAAAAGAATATGATACGTTTAAAGTTTTACTCCTTTTGTCCCTTAACTCCTCTTACCTTCAGTTATAATAACATTGAAAATTCGCCTCCTGCACTTCGTGAAATAAAACATAAATTTACTTACAAGAGCAGTACAATCTTTATTTGTTCGATGTCTCTTTGATAACAGGATACTTGTGTACTCCTAAAATTGTAAAAACAATTTATCACCCATTCATTGTTTCATTATTTACAGTGTATATCTCTTATCTTCCATAGCAAAATATTTCTACTAGAATGTTCTTTAATTCTCTTCTATTTTTAAGCACTGTAGTTTTAAAGTATTTATTTCTAACATGTATTTAACAAAAGGTAGAAATTAAATTAAATTAAAAACGATTACTACTGTTAAAAATATGTGAGTAAAATTACATATCTTTTATATATCCGAATTCTAATTATTAGGGTTGATAAAAAGCATACTCTCATTTTCTTTCGTTAGTGTTTAACGATGACGGACATGATGTTATCTCATGGAAGATAGTACAAAATACATGTATGTCAAGAACAAAATAAAATAGAATAAAAGTATAACAAAACATTTATTGACTCTGTTCGAGAGCAAAATGCGTTTTGTTGACCCTCGAACCAATTTGTCTGCCTGAGGCCGTAGACAGCTTGGTTCGTGGGTCCGACAAAACGCATGTTGCCCTAGAACTCAGTCAATAAACGTATAATATGAACATTCAAGGTCTACCTACCTGGCATGCTTTTATATCATATCGTATCGCCTTTATCTAGAAATAAATAAAAAGAGAATTTTTTTATTTGTTTCATTTGCAACACAGGATGTTTAACATTTTTATCATCCAACATATACGAGGGTTGATCCCAAAGTAATGTCATACGCCACTTTGTCCATATCTTTAATATTTGGCGTCATATTATTAAATATAATCTATATATCAAAGGCTGAGAGTAAAGGTAAAGCTTAACGAGCTGACGATTGCATTAAATAGGGTTAATGAAATTATTTTGGTGAATATTGGCACAAGTTGCCTGTACAAATACACGAGCTAGCCTTGCGAGTGCATTTGTACAGCCAGCGAGTGCCACTATTCACCAATATAAGTTCAATAACTTCTTTATTATATAGCTAAAACATTTCCTCATAATTTATAATGACTTCAACTAAAAAAAACTCAAATTAATGATTTTTTTCTGTGAGGGTATAAAAATCAACGCCTATCCTGTAAGGTTTCAATATTGGGTTTTTCCGATGACCCTACCGAGCGTTACTGTATGATTTGCTTCTTTAGGTTTCAATGGGTCCAATACGTACTTTTTAATATTTTTAATAATTAATTTCATTTTTTGCTAAAATAAACACATCTTACCTAAATGTCACTCCCTTTCTTAAATTTAACTCGGAGAATTTGACCAGACGACATTTTTTTTGTTTAACGCTCGGTAGGGTCATCGGAATGATGCGATATTGAACACTTACAGGACAGGCGTTAATTTGAATATCGATACTAAAATATCATTAATTTGCGTTTGTTTTTGTTGGAATTATTATTATAAATTATAATAAATTGTTTTAGCTATATAATAAAAATGTGATTGAACTGAAATTGGTGAATAAATTCAAGCTCGTGCATTTGTACAGCCAACTTGTGCCAATATACACCAATTTAAGTTCAATAACCCTATAATGTTTCAAATTGTTTCATACTGAATCATTTACGGAAAGTCTCGTCAACCTTATCAATCTTTTAATGTTTAGTTAGACAATGACAGTTTATATGTATTTATTTGTCGTAGAAAAGGATACCTTTTGTGTTCCTAAGTCGGTAACATCCAGTAACACCAAACACTTAGTGCTGTCAAAGTGTTCTATGCTTTTGTCCCAAATATTCTTTCGAAGTACTGTTATCAGCTACAAAAAAAAAAAGATTCTCAAAATTAAACCCTAATTAGAAAATCGGACAAATCCAATCTTGTTAACCATTTTAATAATTACTATATTGAATATGGCATATTCTTTGCATCAACGGTAAGACAAATTAAATTCTCACCTGCTTCCGGAATTTCCGCACTAAAAACAAGGTCAATGGATAGGTAAAAATTCCTAAAAATATCCCAGGTGTAACATGTACATTCCACATGTCGGTTACATTTCTGTTCAAGAGAGTATCTAAAAGACCGATAGAAATGTATAAGAATGTCACCGAAAGACTTATAAGCACAGTTACTCCGTATTGGAACATGCCATTTTTAAGTATTCTGTAATTCCTCAGTAAACAGAATGCATTTGCAAAGTCAAGGATATGTTCCATCTGCTTCTGAACCTGCAATAAAAACTGTCCCTATATAACTTGTATAAAATATGCCCTTGACGTTTCTTGTCAAAAGACGATATTCCGCAATGACATTGCATCAGATGATTCCAATGCTAACATTAAGTACTGAACAGGTTAACTTAATGAACAGATGTATAAATAATGAAAATAGAAAGAGAGAGAAACACCTGCACTGAATTTAAAGCACGGTAGTCCGGTTCCATTAACGCTGGAAATTCAAAATGTGATGCGTTAAAGCACGCAGAGTTCTTCAGTTTCCCTTCTAACTCTATCAGTGGAGCCCCGTTCTGATTTCTATTATCTTCAACAAATCTAGATTCTGACAATGAAATAATTATTGTTTTATTCCATTTGCCAATTCTGACAAAAACTTAACATTTATCCTTCTGGATTTTTTGAATTTAAAAACAGCTCACCTAATTCTGTCTGATGTGCAGCATCTACAACTCCTATGTAATATTAAAAATATTTCGAAAATAAGATTTCATCAGAATAATATTTAAATGCAGTAAGGATATACAAATATTTACAATACAATACTCTTTTAAACACGAAATCGAATTGCGAAGAAAACATTTTCCTATTTTACCACAAAACCTTTTACCTTACAAAAATAAATGCTCAAGTATAAACAAAATGACATACCTGAATGATAGTATGCTTCATGGATTTTAGCAGATACATCGCTTTCTTTTCGAGCATCAATACACACATACGGCTTCAAAAATGGCGGCAAATCATTATCGGTATCTAAGCCATGTAATATCAAGGGAATTATTCTCAAACTGAACTTCCGATCAAATGACATTTGAACAGCTAACCTTGCCTCCATGTCACACCAATGACTACACAGAAAGTCTGGACTAAGGACCAATAACACTTTGACACTTTTTTCCATCTCGTGTTGGATATTCTCATCAATTTTTTTGGCAATCGTAAAATCACGATCATAATACATGCACTTCAAAAGAAATCTGTTTTCAAGTTCTTGACATATTTTTAAAGCTTGGTCACCATCAACGGCAGAATGAGCGATAAATAAATGGTAAAGTTTACCAGAAGGGAGATCATCGAATTGTTTTCCGTCAATACTGACTTGATCACTGTTTATCTGGAGGATATCCCCAGTGTCATCACTGTCCAGTAAAGGACAGTTTTCTTCTCGGCTGTTTGTTTTGGACCTTGAAATGTGATGATGTAAATTCAAACTTCTTGTGTTAGAGTCATTTTCAATTTTACACAGTTGTAAGTCAACATTTTCCGCCATAATATCTAATTCTTCCTCATTATTTTCTCTTCTCTGTTGAAAACCGGAATTAAAAAGCATATCAATGTATTAATTACGTTTCAAATTTTGAAGGAGATATTCTTATTTCCAATCAGATTGACTTCTCTAAATGATTTATATAAAGTGAAAAAAAATCCTTAAACACACTAATAAAACAAAGCTACAAACCAAAAATACTTACTTTCATTTCCAAGTTTTGAAAACATCTCGTAACTATTTAACTTGCATTGCACAAGAGTACAGCGATTTAAAGCTTTCTGACAATAACAAGCTCATTGATTAAAAGTAGACCTTAAAAAATGTGCATTTAAAATATGAATTGAACTGTGAAAATTCCATTTTCCATTTCGAATCAGTACACTTTAAACTATACAGCAGGAAATTTTCAGAAAAAGCATTTCATTTCTCGTCCCTCAAGAAGGTTGTTCCTATAAAATAAACAGAAAGTAGAAAGCGACAATGAAACAAGCCACTCTTTTTGCTATATTTCTAGTGTTACTATTTCAGGTAAGAAATATATGCTATTTCTTATTCTTACTTACGTATATATTTTATCGAAAAATAACAGGAAAATCCGTCGTCAATTCAGTGTATAAATAATGGACTAACAATTAGTATGAAAAACATCAGTCAGCATTTGACGCAATGTTAAATTTATTTGCTGACAAGGTCATTGTATCGACCATAGTACTTACGAAATACTGCTTCTAAAAGAGACTGCTGAAATTCTTGTTTCATCAACTTGTTTGTCAGTAATTTACTTCGTTTTAGAAATAGTTCATACGTAGAGCATGCTTTTGCGTATCGAATCAACTGAGATATATATAAACTCCGTATGCAGGTGATAAACGTATATTGCTGCATAAGAAAGGGAAGTTGGCGATAGAAAAGTTAAAGTCATAACGTTTATCATAGAGCTTGCTTGTTAAATTACCATTAACGTCATTTTCAAGTAAAATATCCGAGCATGAAACAGATATGTCAGATGCTCCTGAAAATATTCAATATTTTATTTTTCTTTATGCAAATGGGAAAAACCAAATAACACTTTTACTCAAAGACACAAACCACCAGTGTCTTGTCACTTAAATTATATGTCAATCAGATATTCTCATTTCTGTTTGCCAACAATAAATCCAAAAGCATTAATTCTTTACAATTTATCATTAACTATATAAAATCATCAGCTTTCTTTAAAAAAAAAAACACACAGACTATTTTATGATTTACTTTTTTTTTTATTTTTGTCAGCAAAGTTTACAAAATGAGGGCCATGTTGGACTTTTAAAAGCTTCCGTTCGCGCCAAAACAGGGTATATTGCAAGATGCCCACCTGCAAAATACATAAACAACGGAGAATGTGTGGATCAGTGCCCTCCATTCAAAATTTCAATATTTAATGGCTTTGCAAAAATATGCGTAACAAGAAATGAGATCTCTTCTTGTCCGACCGGTTCTTGCAACAACTTTTGTTACAAGCTAGAATGTGTGAACATGTGTCCATATTACACATTTGACTTGAACACCTCATGTATTGTACGGTGTCCCAAAGATGCTAATTTTGTTGTAACTCTTAACTGTGATGATGATTGCTTTTTTGTAATGAAAACATGCTATTCAAAGTGCCCCGATTCTTATTATTATTTGATGAAAACACCTTATTTTGACTGGTGTTTAAAACAATGTCCAATATACACCGCTAAGAATAATTTCACTTGTGAACTATCGTGCAGTACTGACAAACAATACCTTTTTAACAACACATGTTTGAAGGCTTGTCCATCTAGTCATAAGTACATGTTCCTTCATGTTTCTAAATTCAATGAAATCTTAATGTGTACCGATAATTGCCATGATCGAGTGCTATATGGAAATCAATGCATTTCAAAGTGTCCTTCATTAACTGTTTTGTACAATGGAACTTGCTCTACTGGCTGTCCATCAACACACCCTCTTCTTTATTCTTCGCAGTTGAAATTTCGGGATGACATTCAGCTCAATAGGTCTGACCTTGCATGTGTCAGTGAATGTGGGAATGATTACAGCATTTTTAATTCTACATGTGTTGCAGATTGTCCTGACTCATTTCCATTTTCACTCAACGGAACTTGTACGCAGGAATGCGCCGATGATAAACCAGTCCATGTAGAAAAACAGACAAAGTGCATTCCATCATGTCCCTTGGATTATTTTCTCTTTAACGATACAGGCATATGTTATGACCGATGCCCGAAATCATATGTGTATACGTACAATCAGACATGTCACTCAGAATGTCCAGATTATCTCCCTTTCCAACTGACACGTCAAAAGAAAAGTTTTATTCTAATTGGTCATTCATTTCAACCCGTTTTGTATTATGAATGTGTCGAAATGTGCCCCAATCTACATTATCAACAACAATGTGTTGATGTTTGTCCATTAAATGCTAAATATAAATCATTCAAATCCTGTGTAAATCAATGCTCTGGGGATCTCCCTTTCTATCTTACTTTAACAATGCAATATGTTTTCTATGCACATGAAAAGGAAACTATTTGCGTTAAGTCGTGTCCTGCATACTATGTTAATCATACAAAAGTTTGTACATCAACATGCCCCTCAGACTCTATGTTTCTTTTCAACAATATTTGTCTAAAGCGTTGTCCGTTAACGAAAAAATTTGGAGAAAAAAGTCATTCATTTTACGTGTGCGTTCAAAAATGTCAACATTTGTCTTTCAATAACATATGTGTTGATAAATGTCCAAATGCTGCAAAATATAATTCAAATTCAACTTGTGTAAGCAAATGTAGTAACTCATTATTACCTTACTATTACTTAAATACAACCAAAGTCAGAGCCCGTTACTACGGCTACAAGATGGAAACAAATTTCTACTGCTTGGCGTCATGTCCGTCGAATTTATTTGGCTTTGAACATAGATGTGTTGATAAATGTCCGAAAGCAACATTCTATTTTGGAAAGAAATGTTTATTTGACTGCCCACTGTCTTATCCATATAAAATACCGCCATTACAAAAATGTGCAAATGTTTGTCCAAACACGACATATTTATATAACAGGACGTGTGTTCCAATGTGTCCAGACAGTACGTTTCAGTTTCAAAACAGATGTGTTTCAGAGTGTCCAGACTCTCACTCGTGGATTTATACAAAGAATGCTTCTGCAAAGCATGTTCAATACCTATGCGTTGATGTTTGTCCAGTAGCTACTTTTGAATTTAAACCTAATAAACTTTGCTTTGATAAATGTCCAGATGGTTTCTTCATTGACCGTAATGAATGTGTGAAAACATGTCCAAAGAACAGAAAACTGGTAAACAACTCCACAAAAGAGTGTACAATGAACTGTACCGGCATGTACCTGCAGGGAAATTTTTGTGTGAATCTCTGTGTCGAAGAAATGTTTATATTTCAAAATTCATGTGTGAATTCATGTCCCTCTTCACATCCTCTTAAATATATAACCAACAATAAAATACTAACCCAAAAGTTTTGTGTCAAAGAATGTTTAAACAACACATATATTTTCAATGCATCATGTTTCGACGTTTGCCCAAAAGGGCTCCTTGCTTATAATAGAGATTGCTTAAAGGTATGTCCGTCGTCACATCAAATTATTAATGTCATTACAAGAGAATGTGTCCAGAAATGTCCAAGGAATCTTGTTTTATCATATCCCAATAAATGCGAGAAAAGGTGTCCATCTGGGAAACAATTTATTGAAAATGGAATTTGTCTAAGCTCCTGCAAGAACAACACCCGTTTATACTATCCAACTTCAAATGGATACCTCTGTACACACTCGTGTTCAGGTGAATATGTCCAGCTTCAAGAGACAAATCGTTGTGGGAAAAAATGTCCCTTCAACAGAATCATAATTGATGAAATTTGTATGCTTTATGAAAAATGCACAGATCATCCACTCATCGAATACACAGCCAAGGGCAAAGTCTGTAAACATGGATGTTCTGCTGGAATGTATCTGAATGGGACCAATTGTATAGATTCTTGTCCAAAAGATATGTTTATTCTTAACAAGACTTGTGTACAGACTTGTCCAGAGTCAGCTCCGTATCTGTGGAAGAGTTTTGGGATGACTTTCTCTCGAAAATGTTTGCCTCGTTGTCCATTTTTTACGGTTATGAATAGCTCTAATTGCATTCTAGTAGAAGAGTGCATTGGATTCCTTGGTGAAAAGAATAACGCTATTCATAACGGAAAATGCGTTCCAGAATGTCCCTATGGGTCTGTGGAATTTAAGGACAAAAAATGTAGATATAGATACGAGTTTATTTTACCAATCGTTATATGTTCTGTCATTTTTATTGGCCTTGTTACATCAATTTGTAAGATGGTGTCGTGTAGGATGAAGAAAACTAATACGGTGAGTCAAAAACATGTGTTAAAAAATATTATTCTTATATTCAAATTGATTTTTTTTAAATATTAGAATTCTAACAGTTAAGGTGCACCAAAGCCGTATTGTTTTTTAAATTCAAACTTTGATATCAAGAAGATCTTTTATCCATTTATTTAAAGATGTGGTAAATACATTGTTGTTACAGAATACGCAACAAAGGTCTGATGGAATAGATAAACAAAATGAATTCACCAGCTTAATTGAGGACGAAACTGAAGCAAAAAGCATAATCGAAGGCTTTGAAAGACAATCAATCGAGGACAATGAATTTACAGGTTCTTTCCAACCCGGAAATAATATCAAAAGTGTGATAGACGATGAAAAACGTCTCCCTAATGAAGACGATAATTTACAAGGCTTGATCCATAGCAAGGCATCAGTTAAAGATACCTCCGAAAACGACGAAAGACAGCCAAATGAGACAGAAAATAAAGTAACTATAGATGTACATGAAATTTAATGTTACCTAACATCAATGCTTGCTGCGACCATTTTTTTTCTTATTGACTTATAGTTTTTTCCGAGCGTAAAGAATATTTTTGCTCAAAAGCGCAATTATTTTTGCACTATATTTTGTAAAATAAAGAATTATTGATGCACTTTTCAAAACTGTCTTTCTCTTCCCTTTTAATTGAAGATAAAACACTCACAAATCAGCATGATATTTTAGGTAAATATGCAAGCTTAACATGAGATGTATATATAAGGATCATAAATTGGTAGGTTTTTCTGTAGAAATTTTACGAAGATTCAATCAAATAATATGAGTAATTTGTCGTGTGCCATGTGACAAAGAACTGAAACGCCTTGTTATGAGTTTATGAAACAACGCGATAAGTCCAAACTACGTGTAAGCGATGCAGTGAAATAACACAACAACCACACACACAAACACACCCTAACCACTTTAAGCACAAATAAAGTGTATATTTTGTTACCTTTTTTTGGTATCCATTGAGAACAGTTTTAAGACACGTTTTGAAATCAGTTGTCCATATTTTTCAAGTAAGTTATGGTCTGGTTCCTGTACACTGGTGGGTAACTTTATTTTCTTTCTTTATTATTTTTCTTAATTCTCCAACCTTGTGTCATTATGTCATGTGAAATTTTGAAAATTAGAGTACCCCAAAAAATGCGAAAGAACCTTATCTATTAAAATTAGAAAAGACAAATGCTTTCAAATTATCAAATCTTTCTATTAAAATGCTCTAAACATATTAATCGCATTACAAATAGAGGGAAAAAACTCAATATTAATGACATCACAATTCAGGATATATACATGTACCGTGTGTGTGGAAGAGTCTTCCCAAAATGTTTATCCAATTGCCCTTTTTTACTGTTAATAATAAATAATATATTATTGCATTACAAAGGAAGAGTGCATTGTTGCATTACAAAGGAAGAGTGCATTGGATTCCTTGGTGAAAAGAATTAGTACCCTATTCGTTATGGAAAATGCGCACATGTATCATAATGTCCTAATCTGCGAAAATTAAGGACAGTCAATGCAGGACCGAAACACACCATAATGGTAGGTCCAGTCAGACTAAGAATAACAGCAAGCCATTATAATAATATTGACCAAATCCATTTTACTTTCAAATACTTATAATTTTGAAAATCAAAATGATTTTAATGCATTTATCATTATTTATACAATGTTTTTACAGGCATACTCTAAAACCTGGCCTGGCCCCTTTGGCCTGACCTGGCCTCTAAGTTGGCCTGGCCTCTATTTTGGTCTCTAATTTGGCTTCAAACCAAATTTTGGCCTGGCCTCAAATTTGGCCTCTGTAAAACTTTTTGGCCTCAATTTTGGCCTCACTCAAAAATAATTTCTTTTTCAGAATTTGATTGATTTTATTGATTTTTTTAAATTAGTTTCAGTTTTTCAAAGATAAAGCAGATAAATAACATATTTCCGTTGATATGTAATTGTGAACATTAAAAATGATCATGTACTAACACCAATATGCTTTATTTTATTGATTATCAATCGATCAGTGTAAACTTATTTCATTTTATGTTTTGATGACCGGTATTTCATACTGACACACTACCGACACTCTTGCTTAATTATTTAGAAGAAAATTTCAGAATTTATTTTGTGTTTTCCAAATTGTGCACATTGAAAAAATCTCTATTAATAATTCATGTCAAATGTCATTAATAGCTCCGAAAAATTCCCACTTGTCAAGTGATGAATCATCACCTTTCACACACTGTATAGAGTGTTGTGTTACTGTTATGCCTGCATCATCTTAAATGAGATATATGGATACAGGCACCAAATAATTTTTAAATAAATATACTACCCTATACCAATGCAGATACGAACATATTTCTATTATAATGATTTGATTACTCTGTTAAAAATTCATATGTACTTTAATCTCAGTTCGTATTTAAAAAATTAATTTAAATAACATTTATCAGATAATTTATAACATTCTGTTCCTGAGCGGAAACACTGTAATTAGATATCTAATGATAAAAAATTCTGCAGCATGGTTCTTGTCAGAGAGTTAAGGTTGATGTTAATCAGTAATGAAATGTATATGTGCATAGGCTATTAAGCCACCCATGATTTGAAAAGAATTTCCTGATACAACTTTCACTATCTACAATTATCAAACAAAAGTTGAGTTTGATGATAGGTTATTAACATTTGTGCTGTAAAACAACCGCATCCTATCAACCAGACCATTAGAACCCTATCATATAAAATGTGGCTAATTACTTGCATATATCATTGTATTAATTGACACTTTTTCGATCAGTTTGTAAAATTAGTCCACATCATCAAAAAGATTTTTTTATTCCGAATAAAGAAAGGTAAAAAAAACTTGTAACAAGTAATACTTAAAATAGCAAATTAAAAATTCTATTTACTGGGCAGTTCTTAGGTAATTTAATACTATCCATCTGCATTTCTTTGTTGTCTTGATAATTTAAATTGATGTATCTAAATATTTTACTCTGTAAAAATCACCATGGAAATTAAAAAAAAAATTAAAAGCACATTTACTAAATCATTAAAATAATATCTTATTGGAAGTAAAACTACTAGTATATGCTCTGTGTTATAGTCTTCAGAATTGCAACTGATCAATAGAAAATCAATAAAAAATAAATCAGATTGGTAGTAGTGTATTATTATTTTAATGTTTACATTTACATATCAACAGAAATATGTTATTTACCTGCTTAATCTTTGAAAAGATAAAACCAATAAAAAGATCAATAAAATCGATCAAATTCTGAAAAAGAAATTATTTTTGAGTAGGGCCAAAATTGAGGCCAAAAATTTTTACAGAGGCCAAATTTGAGGCCAGGCCAACTTTTGAGGCCAGGCCAAAATTTGGTTTGAAGCCAAATTAGAGGCCAAAATAGAGGCCAGGCCAACTTAGAGGCCAGGCCAAAGGGACCAGGCCAGGTTTTAGAGTATGCCGTTTTTACAGAAAAAAAAATAAAGAAATAAATTAACAGAATAAAAACACCTGTTTAATGCAGAACGAAAATAAAGCCAAAAGCATGATCGACGACTTTGAAACACAACCAGAGAGGAGCAGATATTAAACCCTTTTTAGAGATAAACCGTTGACATAATAGCCACCTAAGTCTGAAAGCGATAAAGATTTTTACGTAATGGCACGCAGTTCTGACATTGGAATTCTGTTATTGACATTGTTTGTAAGTTCATTGAATTATTTTGATAGTACATGCGCTTAAAAGTCTCTACAGCATCAACATTTTAAAATAACTTGTTATTCAGTTATTGTGCAAGTGCATCATAGTCCTTGTTTTGTGAATTCTCCTTCATAGCTAGGTTTTATCAGGCACTGTCCACTACCATCTCCAGAGGTTTAACGACTGAGAGGATAAGGTTGCAGTCCTTAACTTCTCCGTCCTTGTAAATGATATCTTTAACCTGCTAGAAGGTGGAGACTAAATAATACATGTAATATCTCGTCAATGGTTGGTACCTTTTATTCCAATTAAACTGTTTTTTGACCAATATAAAATATGCATGAAACTCACCAGCGGTACCCAAAATTTCATCTTCTTCCTCTCCTCTGACCTCAAACCCAATCAAATTAAACAAATTTCATGCCCCTTTTATCCTTTTTTGGTTTCTTCACTTTCAAAGGCATCTTAAAGACAAATAAAAAATTGTCTTCGTGTTAATCAACCATCTGTCAAAGCTATTGAACATGAAAATATGTGTTTATCTTTGGTTGCTCAACCAAAAAGTTTGCAAAACGTACGACTCTTCTCTCTCTCTCATGCCCAAGGTTGCCAATTTGATTGATATATTGATACTTTCAGGCACAGACTTGAAATATCAGTATCTTGGCTCCGTAGTCCAAACAATAAATCGTGATAAATCTCTCAGTCCGTCCCTTTTAAGTCAACTTCCTTCTTCGTGCCATCATGCCTTTAGCATTTTTTGTAGGTTGTTACGTTCTATGGATCTCCATCAGTACCAGCTGCTTCTCTTACATATTTGGCGTTAAATAATATCTAACCATTGATGCTATGCATGTTTGACTCAATTTGCTTAAAAAAACGTCGGTATGTTCATTGCATTTTGATACGCATGGCACTTCTTTTTCAGTATACATGTTCTCAACCACAATTGCTAAAAAAAGTCTTCCCTTTTTTTTTTTTTTAAATATTTAGGTTTTTTTTTTAAAATACAGTATGGAAGTTTTACAGTGGATTTACTGCTCAAACCATACATGCATACATTTTCCCTTTCCTAAAGTGTTGAAACATGAAAAATATATATAAGGCATAAAGAAAATAATGGTTAAGCATCAGTCTTCATAACTTTGAAATACATATTTACTTACCAGGTAAAGATAAACTTTAAACAGACTCTTCAACGCTTTTGTATATTTCTTTGAACGCTAAGTCTTGTCTCGCAGGGTCAGGCTTTTGCCGCAGCAGTGCATCCGGGAACTTCTAGTCATGTGACAAACACAGAAAATACATCACCTCCTCGGCCAACTCCAGAACGTTATGAATTTGTTAATAACTTATACATGTATGATAGAAATTCAGTAAGTATACTTACATTTAACGTGTTGAATCTGATAACACCAACCAAATTGTCATCTTTGCAATCTAAAACAAAATATAAAATAATTTTTAACCACAAAATTGTTGATGGTTAAACATGCATACAAATTATATAATTGTAGCATTTCCTGTGTGATTCGCATTATTCCAGAATTATGCATTACTGTATGTGTTACCATGTTCCTTATGACCACCGAGCTGATATCCACGAACCATCTACTCTTCTGGCAACCGAGGTACATTAGACACACATTATAATTACCGGTATTTACAAACACATAAAACTGAAAATAATAATTGTCTATCATATGAATTAAAATTAAATAACGTCAAAGTAATGGAAGCAATTTGCTGTGTTTAAAACATTAATATTTGAAGAATGCATTCAATAAACAATTTAACGACCTTATGGTTTTGCTATTCAAAAATCACCCATTATAATTATGTTTTCTTGTGTTGCATGAACATGTATGATTAAAATTTTATATACTAATCTATTTTTTTTTTAGAAACGGATGTATGAGTTATTTCTAACGGGGAATTACGTAAAGAAAAATATGACAGAACTGAAGTTTTATAGTATGCGATGCTACAGTATGTGTACCCGCACCAATTACAATCCAGGGGATAATACGACCCTTTATATGGTCTACGATGATCCTCTAATGTCCACACAATACTTATCTTAATAAAATAGTAATGAAACATAAAAAAAATTATCACAATGACATGAATTTCTTGAATTTCAACTCTTATTTCAGGGGCGTAGTATCCGGGGGGGCCAGGGGGGGGGGGCCTGCCCACCCACTTTTTTTCCCAACCTAACTTACACTATAGGAAATGGTAATTGAAAGCCTGGTTGACCCCCCACTTTTAGAAATGTACCGAAAATGTAGTATAAGAATTGGAACTAAAAGTAGTTGACATTGAGAAAAAGTTAACCCCCCCCCCCCCCACGAAATAGGATTTTCGACTTTGGGCAATTTTTACCTTTTTTTTTTTTTTTTTTTTTTGCTTGTCAACTCTTTCAGGTAAGTAAAAAAAAATTTTCTCTGCCTGGCCCCCCACTTTCAAAAACGATGCTACGCCACTGTATTTCCAATGTGAAACATGCGTGCAGAAGGATGCATAGCATTTAAAATGCCTGCAAATCGCACTCCAAATTCTTCGAAGATCCTGTATTTTGAGACATACAGATGTATTCTGTATAATTTGCTCAGGATGATGTGTGCAACCCTTTGCCTCACAATGCCATCTAAATGATCAGCTCATATGTTGACTATTGCAGGTCATTTTTAAGTGGATAGAAGTATTAAATTCACGAACGTCATAAATGATTGATTGTATACTGTTGAACGTCCCTCTCGAGAATGTTTCACTCATATTGAGACGCCACCACTTGCCAGTGGAGAGCTGCAATTTTTTTATCCTATACTCGGCACTTAGGGCCATTGAGCTGCGACACGGGGCCTCGGTTTATACGGTTTCATCCGAAGGACCGGTCTTCACATCCCACATTGGGATTCAACCCGCGACGTAAAGATCAACTCCTTACTTTGTGACTCTTGAGCAGACACTCTAACCACTGCACCACACGGGCGACACCTCATGAATGATATTAGTCCCTAGTTATGGAAATCGTGCCTTTGATGCTCGATTTCATAGAAGCCTATTCATTTTCTCAATTTTAGGAAATACTAAATTGAACAAGCGGGCAGATCTGAAGATACTATACCGGTAGTATTACTGATCCTGTAATGGTATGTTATTTCTTCTTCCACTCCTGTTTCCCTTATTTTTTATTTTAACATTTAAGTTTTTGAAGCGGGTCCATTCCACAGGTACTTGTGAACAGGAACTCCACCCCCCCCCCCCCCCCCCCCCCCCCCCCAATATACACCCTAGGTCTATTTTATAATACCGCGGGTATGTTTTTTTTTATAAAAACGTTAAGTTTACGTTATTTTTTGGATTTTTCACGTGGAAGACATTGTAAGTATGTAATAAAAGAAATGAAGAATAATTTGTGCAAAAAAAAGACCCGTATATTCGGGGACGGGGAGGGGGGTCCTGTCCACAAGTACTTGTGGTTCATTCAAGAGACAAAATCCCAGGGTAATGAAACTTGCAAATATGTAAATAAGTTGATTGTATTTTTATTCCATGTCTTATACAGCACAATCAATGTTTTACACAGTTTTACATTGGGAATCCACTTTATTTTAGTGTTTTCATTCTCACGCCAAACCCATTTTGACATCAAAGACGTTACGCACAATTTGTTGGTGATGTTTGACTTTACGCTTTCAGAACGCTACGGAAAAATTGACGTAACTCTTCTACAATATTATAGTGTTTCTAGCTTGATTTGTACCCTATCGCTATAACAAATGAGTAAATATTAAATACAGAGTTTCACTGTAAAGTTTTTGTTACATTTTGGTAGGTGGCAACCTTGGGAGTACGGCGTGACGAAGGACCTTTTCGTCCAGTGGGACTCTAGAAGTGGAACTGAACTGACACTCAAACATTTATAATTATATGTAGCCCCTTTATCATGTACAGGCACATCACATAGATGGTCTACTGTTCTCTGTTCTTAATACACAGACGACCAAACAAGATACGAGAAGGCGGGGTCACTCAGGTCAATAAGTGATAAAGAGAAGACATGAAAACAAACTTAAACACTTGGATTATCTTTCTCTCAACAGTCCTTGTAAGTACATTTTTTCGAAATTTATCGAGAGGGACGTTAAACAATAAACAATCAAAGATCTTTCCTCAGGCCTTTGGATCGCATAAATTCGACTTTTTTTTTTTTAAAAAAAGGGGGGGTATATAAAAGAGATATTTTGTCACCCCAATTTTTTTTTAAAGTTGGATTAAAGCGATCTAAAAGCCTGTCAATCTTCCATTAAGTCCAAGAAAGTGATGAACCATTGTTGAATTTCATACAGATGCTAACAAAAGCAAGAAATTCGAACAATATTGAAAATCGGCAACTTCTTAATATTTTAGAAACACGATTATAATTTATAAATTATTTGCTATGTTCACGGCTTTGTATTATGTGTAGATTATTATAAATCAATCACTCTTTACCAAAAAGCATTATATAATATATAAAAAAAATTCTTTAAAAGGGCTAATAAATCGTACTTGTGACGCTGTGGTAAGGGTAACTCCCGATCCTCCTAGGATCCTTACGTTGCATGTTTCAAATTCCATTGCGGGACATTGAGACCAGTCGCTCAGATAAAATTGAAAGGTGTAAACCAAAGTCCCCTATCGCCGATGATGATGGCACGAAAGAGTTCCCTCATGATTACTAATCATTGAACATAATATAAGTTTAAATTTGCAGCCGTCTATTGGCAGTAGGTGGTATCTAAACATGAGTGTAGTTATTCTTAAAGGGACATCAAGCAGAGACAATTGATTTAACTTAGTGTTTTATTGTCCCCCGCTTTCGCGAAAGCGAGGGGACATTAAATCTCATTCGTCTGTCCGTCAGTCTGTCAGTCTGTCCGTCTGTCAGTCCGTCACAAAAACTTTAACCTTGCCCATAACTTTTGATTTAGCTGGGCTCATATTTCACAAGTGTATTCCTTATGACAAGACCTTTCTTTGGGTACCACCATTTTTGACCTTTTGACCTTGACCTTGGAGTTTGACCCACTTTTACACAAAAAATCCTAACTTTTACTTTGGCCATATCTTTTGAATGGTAGAAACTACGACTTTTATATTTCACATATATATTTTTTGTGGCAAGACCTTTTATTGGATTCCAACAACTTTGACCTTTTGACCTTGGCCATGGAGATTTCCGTACTTATAAAAAACTTAAACCTTGACCATAACTTTTGAAAGGTTGGGGCTAGAGCTTTCATACTTCACATATGTAATCCTTGTAAGAAGACCTTTCATTAGATACCATGAACTTTGACCCTTTGACCTTGACCTTTGAGTAAAACCTTTTTTCAAGAACTTTGACCTTGGTCACAACTTTTGAACTGCCGATGCTAGGACTTTCATTTTTCACATATGTATTCTTTATGGCAAGACCTTTCTGTGGATATCAACAATTTTGAAATATTGACCTTGACCTTGAAGTTTGACCCCTTTTACACAAAAATTCCAAACTTTTACTCTGGCCATAACTTTAGAATGGTAGATACTAGGACTTTCATATTTCATATATATATTTTTTGTGAATAGACCTTTCATTGGATACCAACAACCTTGACCTTTTGACCTTGGAAATTTTTCGTACATATAAAAACTTTAACCATGGCCATAACTTTTGAATGGTAAGGGCTAGGCTTTTCATACTTTACATACGTAATCTTTGTGAGGAGACCTTTCATTGAATACCAAAAACTTTTAACCTTTGACCTTGACCTTGGAGTTCAGTGATGATTTCAAAATAAATGACAGGATGTTCATATTACGCACAATGTGTCATAAAAAATGACATCTCACCCAAAAAGACACCGAAAGCGGGGGACCACAATTCCTTGAATTTGCTTGTAAACGTAAGACTGGAGTGGGATTTCATTAAAGAGCATTATGGTCTATAATCTAAATTTCGATATAAGACTTCGGTCTCTAAATGATTAAATATTCCTCTTTTTCAGGGTGCCGTGTTTCTTGCTGTGGTACCAGACACAACACGTCACGTGACTACAAAAGCAACCACTACTACTCACCGACCCACGCCAGAACCATGGGAATTTGTCAACAATTTTTATGTATATGACAGAGACTCCGTACGCCAAATGAACATTTATATAAATGAATTAGCTAAAGTTGTTCATAAAGCTACAGATTTATTAATATAAATATAACAAACCTACCTTAATTACCTACAATATCAATAATAGTCTAGGACATTATTACTCTGGAAGTCTGGGCATTTATTTAGTATAAAAGTAAAAACGTGGTATATTCTGTTATTTTTGTTATGGTTTCAGATGAATTTGATTTGATTCTGTTTCAGCATTATTTCTGCGTGTCTCACCATTCCTCACATCAACATTTACACTACTGTATCTGCTACCACATACCATACGAGGACAGGGGCATCCTGGAGGACCCCCAAACTCTGCTAGAAACAGAGGTACCTTTCAGGGTTTTTATCTGTAAGGACCACTGAAAACTTTATATTTCAAGTAGTCAGTGCTAAATTAATTTGATACAGGTGAAAAAACTTATGTTAATTATATAAGGTCTTGATATTCGTGAAAGAATATTTATTTATTTAACAAATGCATTAATGAGTGTTTTTCTGGCACAGTTTTGAATTTAGAAAAATAGGTGGGGTCTATGGAAAGCAGCCAGAAAAAGATTAAAATGTAATGGCATTATAATTGCAATGTAAGGGCTTGTAGATTAGTCTTGTTTTTTTTTTGGTATATGCAGATTTATTCATTGTTCAACATCATTTGAACAAAGCAGGCATTTTTATCGAAGTAATTGTACTGATTTTGCACAATAATTTATTTCTTACTTGTACGAAAAGATCTATTAAACTATATCTGTATCTCAATGCATGCTTATTTAATTTAGGGCAAATGATTTTGTTTTTAGAAACTCATTTTCGAGTTATTTGACGCTGGATACCACGTTCAAATGAATTTAACAGAACTTCAGTTCTACAGCAAACGTAGCTTTTACATGTGTTCACACACTAATGGAAACCCTGGAGTCAACACAACTTACTATTTAGTGTACCCCAAACCCAGTCAATACGGCTCTACTGCATAGATGGATTGAAAGTTTTGCTATTTCATGTATTCGAATTAAAATTAAAAAAAAGAATATTAAAGCTCTCTCACTTTTTTCTTTAAAAAATGCTAAGAACAAATTGTTTTAAAATGGCTGACATCAATAAATCCACAACTGTTACGCAATAAACGCTCAGTTAATCTTAGGGTAATTCAATTAACGACTGTACAAAAAAGAACTGATGAACATTTTATTTGTGAATATTAATAGAACACAGAGTCCATGCTAACTGTTCGCAAGGTTTATCCTGCCAACTGAAATGCTCTCCGTCGATAGGAAACATGCGCACACAGTCCTGCGCAGGTTCCCGATGCGGGTCATTGACATTAGGGTCATTTGGCTGTCCGTGTCTCCAGTCAAAAAATTTCTGTGGTGCTCCGTCTGTATCCACGAAAGATAATTCCTGCTGTTTATCAAAGACGCCTATAAATGCACCAGAATGGTCACCACTGGAAAAAAATTGAATTGTTCAATTAAAATAGTGTCAGTTTCAAATGGCAATAAAATTGATTTTAAATATTTTTGACAACCATATTTTGAAATCAAACAATCAAATTTTTTAACTTTAGTCGTTCTAATAGTGTAGTTGGATAATAGAACTGAATCAGCACATTCTAGTTTGTAAATAGTTATTCAGCAAAGTAGAAATCCAATATTTAGTACCTTATCTTAAAGTTTTAGCAATAAATCTAATTTAAAAAAAAAGCTTATTAAACTAACTCTATATGTCGCCAATACAATTTTTTTGTGAGACAATGTCGTCTTTTTCACATATCCCATTTAAAATCTGTTTAGTTGCAACGAGAGCGAAAATAAAGGGACGAAAAATAAAATGGTGAGAAAATTCCCTTCAAACAGTACGTACAAATGAGCATCCAGTGCATTCACTCTGAGGTATAAACATTAGAATGGTTTTATTGTGTATAAAAGGGTGTTTTCTTAATTTGTTACAGAATTTTGCTGCATGAGGTCTAAAACAGAAATGCACCTTTTAATATGGGGGTTGAACAACGTTCAATCTCCTTTGTGTATCATGCACTAATTAAGTTATTGCTCAAAGACCAATTGCCGGTGATTGTCAGTGTGTTCAGGCTGTAAGTTGACCGCACAGTCGTCAGAATAAATTTACATTTGAAAAATTAGTACTTACTCTCAACTGCTTTTTGGGATAAAACAAACACTAAAGCACAATAAAATTAATGATTAACTTTACTTACGAAAAATCTCCCTTGAGTGTTAACTTGATAAAGTTATCTGCCGCATCTGAAGGAATGTAAGCCAACTTTCCTCCTTTGAATTGAGTTGCGCATGCCCGTGCGCCATCATCAGCATTCCTGTCTTGTTTGAGTATAAAGTAGCACAGGTGGACTAATCCATCTCTGAATTCATGGGTCCCAGATGGACAAGATGTAGCTAATAATAAATACACAGCAACACTTATAAACGGGTGGAGGGGGGAGGGATAATGTTAGTTAAACTTTATCGTTGTAACTTTAAAATAACAACAATAGAGAATAACCAACAGTGAACCGTTAATGAAAATCGGTGTTAGAAAATATATTCAAGCTGCATTTAATTACGGCTACAGATTAAAGGGTTATCTATAATTTATTATGAATATATACAACATATTAAAATAATGCTTCTGTTTTGTTTAAAATTTGAGTTGTCATGATAATTCCAAATTTAAAAAAAAGTTTATGTCGAAAAATTGACAGCATCTATGGATGGTTCCTGAACAATACGTACGTTGAAATTCTGATGGCATTTTGTTGTTACACAAATCTGAATCGCAGCAAGCGAACTCTAGGTTGCGTTTCATGACTGTTCTTTTACCCACAATGTCTGGCCCACTCGATGGATGGGGCAGATCAGAACCGGAAGTACAAACCTAAAATCCAAGTTTTATTCAAATGTGACTTTAATTCCAGTTATGTAAAAGAGTTGTAGGGAAAACAAAAGGTTGCATTACACATGTTAATTAATTCAAACCAAACAAATCAAACTTTAAAATCATCCTGTAGTAATTTTTTTTCAGTATATACATAAATCTAGTCAAAAATGGCAAATTGCTACGCTGCTAAAGTATTTGAAATGACTACATAATATAGCTAGGAACTGATAAAATGGACCTGATTATATTTTTTATTCTAAATATAGCTTTCGACTTTATAATAATTTTTGCTTATCAACAAATCTGTACACTGAAAGAAATTCACTGAATATCATCAAAAATCATGATTTTATGAACTTTATTTCAATAATTGTAATCATAAAGTAATCAAAAAGTAATCATGATTACAGGACTTTTTTCAGAGTAATCGATTAAATTACGATTACTTGTAATCAGAAAAATGGGTGATTACTGATTACTTATGATTACTTGGCAAATTGTAATCGATTACAGCTGATTACGATTACCCCATCCCTGTGTAAGACACGTTTTTTTTCAGGCTTTGTTTCTAACTTTTCATTGTAAGGATAAAGATATTGGCACTTTTGTTTTTCTTATAAGTTTCTATATATGTGACTCATAATATGACTTCAAGTGCGAACTTTTTGGTCAAATATTGTTGGTTATTTTTAGTTTTTTGCTTTTCATATCAAGATGTTGTTACCAGTGCGATGAGAATTTTTCATTAGATTCTGTTGTAGAGGGAATAAAACAAGGATCAAGGGTGGAATACTTTTATTAGTAAGAATATATCAAGAAAAAATTTCTTATTACCGACTTTTCGACGCAGCCAACATTAAAATGGTAGGTGAAATCATCCCCGATTGTCTCTGACACAATGCATTCCTGTAAGTTGATTTTGGAGGAAAAATAATGACAGAGGTTAGAAAAAGACTTGATTGCACTGTACAGGTATAATTAAGCAAATCTTTATACTAAATAATTACAATTTTCTTTGAGTTTCATTGCTCGTAAAATATTCTGTATGAGATAATTTTAAAATGAATTTTTGTTCACCTTTCCAACTCCGCAGTTTACGGACGTCGTACAGTCTGCGGGGTTGTTCACTTCATGACACTGGTAACACCGCCTGGCTAATGTAACATACACAATAAATATAATTATGTTATCACGAAACATCAGTGTGTCGGATAAAAGAAAAATTTGTTACAACAAGTACAAGGCTTATAAAAATAACACCTTGTGGGGGTTTTGTTTAGAAGTAAATTTTAATAATTAAACTAGCCCGGTGAGGCAGAAACACTTTTGCCACGTCAGTGATGGACATGTCGAAAAGTTAATAAATCGTTGATTTTCCTGATAATTTATAAGAGAAAATGAACTATAAATGTATAAATTTATGTAATAAATATGAAGGTCGAAAATTTTGGTAAATTGTTGTGTAGCTCGCCAAATTGGAGGTAAACGGGTCAAAAACATGAACACATGTAATAATTCTCGCCATATAAAGGGATGTTCTGTGCTTCAACATGTACAAGTACTTATAAAAGTATAAGACTAAAGTACATGTCGTATCGATCATCTTTCAGCAGTACAGAATTTTTAAAATTATTTTAAACAAAAATGCAAGAACAGGATGTTATATCATCTAAAAGTCGAATACCGGGGTATGTATATACCTCTACATATGTTAATAACTTACAACAAAGTCCACAGAACGCCGGACAATCTGTTTGTCCCGAGGTAGTGGAGCAGAAATTCGGAGACGCTTGGACGAGCAGACGACAGGCGTCAGTACTAATGTCTGCGCATGTTGAGTCCGCAGCAATGGAAATCCGAAAGACTATCAAGTCAAAAACATAAAATCAATTTGCATATGTAAAATTGACAACAGTATCTCATCTAGAATTGAAGTCATTTTGAAACGATTTTGAATTCCGGTGTAAACATTTTATACCAATCATAGCTAATGGCAGTTACAAGTATTCACAATTTTCTAGTAATAGAAAGAGACTAATCTTTCAGGCTCTGTAGATAATCCTGCCTAACGCTATAAACAGGGACATCGATTCTAAGTAAAAAACCAGCAACATTTTTGTTAATAAGATTTTACTATTCCTGCATTTCAAAAAATCCTGGGTCAGGTGACCTTGTCCAAATAACTGTGTCACGGAGGGTGACCATCCCCTGCCTACAGGTCACATCCGTCGTGTTTAACTTCGGAAACGGTCATTATATCGACCATGCATAGAATTTACGAAATGATAACTATATACGAGACTTTCAATATTCTTTTGTCGCCCGAGTGGCGCAGTGGTTAGAGTGTCAGATCTAGAGTCGCAAAGTAAGGAGTTGATCCTAACGTCGCGGGTTCGAATCCCACTGTAGGACGTGGAGACCAGTCCTTCGGATGAGACCGTATAAACCGATCGAGGTCCCGTGTTGTAGTAGGTGCTGGCATGAAAAAGATCCCTTCCTAACCTGAGTGCCGAGTATGGGACAAATTTTATTACAGCTCTCCACCAGCAAGTGGTGGCGTCTGCACATGAGTGAAAAATTCTCGAGAGTGACATTAAACAGTATACAGTCAATCAATATTCTTTTTTTATCAACTTGTTTGTCTGTAACCTAGTACCTCGTTTTAGAAGTTGTTCGTACGAAGAACATGTTCTTGCGTATCGAATCAACTGACAGATATACATGTTTACCCCGTATGCAGGTGATAAGGGTGTATTGCTTCATAAGTAAGGGAAGTTTACGATTGAAAATTTATTACGTTTATCACAAAGCTTTGTTGTTAGATTAACATTAACGTCTTTTTTCTATTAAAATATCTAAATATGAAACAGATGCACCAGACTCTGTGACGTGGTATCTTTTATTTTAAGCTCATAGGGAAATATCGTGTCGATATAAGAATGGAAATAACCATTGTTAATTAACAATACGTCATCGATATACCTAAACGTCAGGTTGAAGACCACAGCAAATGATTTTTTTTTCTTTTCACGAAGAAGATTTTCAACAAATTCTGCTCCATACATGCATCAATACAAAAAAAGGTCTGTAAATATCAGGGCGCAATGGGTACCCATGGGAATTCCAATAGATTGTTGGGAGACTTGGAACTTGGAACACACAGTGCCAGTCAGAATCCCAAGGATTTTTTTATATCAGTTTCAGAGTATTTGTGTGTCCGATCACAGTGAGAATAATTTTGCAAATGACCAGTGGCAAGGTAAGTCAATAAAGAAGTTCAAAAAAGCAGCTGGGAATAATGTCCAAAAAAAACTGGACTTTAACTTTTCGTAGGGAATGGCAGAAAAGTCTGAAAAGTTTTGTTGTGTTAGAAAGTGCACATGGGGAAATGAGATGTTATTATTTTATTAGTTTAGTAAAATAATTCTCAAATGATTACATTATAAATTCATGATCGAGTAAAATATTTTAATAACTTGCTTTAAACGTTGTAATTATGTTTCAATTTCATTATCATTTCGCATCAGATAATTGATAATTCATGATTAAATAAGGAGTTTACAATAGGTACTCTCCATCCTGGGAATGTGTAAGATACGAAAAGAAATCGTCGTGATTTTCCGGATAATAATGACGTGGTAAACAGGTCTGGACGATTTCTAAATATGGAAGTCAAGAACGATAACCGAAAGTTGCTATAAATGTACAGCAAGTACACGTAATTAGTCCAATCAAAACAGCATTTTTACACACCCCAAAACATATTTTAAAAGAAAAAAAGATAACACGTGCTTTTGTTTTTTTCCTCAAAAAGATTTTTTTAACAAAAAATCTGTAGAAGTAAGATGAAAACTTTTGAAGGATAAGGTATTCCCTACATTTTTACCGTGAACAACCTTTTCAATTTTATCTCGAGAAAAAAAATAATGCACGATAGAATGTAATCGTTTACAGAGGTATAGATCGCACCAGCAAGTTTTTATCAAGTTCAATTATAACATTTACCAGAATATATTATATGATGGTAAATATAATTTTGCTTAGCCGTCCGATTTTCATCGATAATACAAAATTCCATGTGTATAGATCAACTAACACAAGTGTTTATCGTATGGACTATACACATATAGTTCTGAATTATCACGGGTTTCAAGAATACTTAGCTATGCAGACTTTAAATGGGCATAAGGAAAGGCGTATAACGTGGAGAAAAGAGAATCCTGTAATTATACATAAATGCATTTTATACCAATATCTTACCTCCCATATCAGAAACTGCATGGACTACTAGTATTTTGTAATAAACACTCAAAAATAATAAAGACTGATATCTTTTCGATAAGATTTTTATGTCAGGGTCTAAAAAACTGAAAATTTACCGTATTTATATCAATTTTTTAACGTAAGTTAAACTTTTGGGATTGCTACCTCCAAGAGACAGATTTTTTCATCCCACTTAGAATGTATTCTAAGCTTTCAAGTCGTGTTTGTTCACGGTAGAATTGGCCATAAAGTTTACAAAAAGTAAAAAAATCTTTTGAGCAAAAATCTCACGTGTTTTAAAAGCTCTGATTGGTCAGAAGGATTAGTGCCTTGTTTATTCTGTATTTATAGCAATTCACGGTTATGTTTGTTTGTATGGTTGTGGTGAATATTGAAAAGTTGCTCAACTTGTAAAAACTTGTTTGAATATGCTACAGCTGAATGACACACAGATTATTTTTATACATTTTACACTGCGCCATGCAGCATAGCCTACTCTGCAGAAACCATATAGGCATTATCCCTTGACAAAAATCCAGGGTATCAGCACGTGGTTCATCTTGAGAGGCGTATATCTTCATTTGATAACAATAACTTCTCATATTAATCATTGGCGATAAATTCATTGAATGAGCAAATGAACTTAATTTGTATATAATTGAAAAAAAATATTATTTAGTTTGCTTTGAAGAAGTCATGAAATAAAAATGATCAGGGATTTCTTTGAATATCCTGTGCCAGCACCTTTTTTGACACTAAATTTTGACCGATTTGATGCTTTACATCAATTTTACTTGTATCTTATTGATTTTGGTTACTAGTAAATAAATCTACATTGATTTTTTTTAGGAGCGATAAAAATGAAACCATGTCCTACAGTGGGACTCATTCGCAGAGCAATCGCTTCGTGATCGTTAAAAAACCCTCGACGTAAGGATCAACTCCTTACGACTCTAGAGTAAAGCAGATGCTGTAACCACTACGCCACGCGTACTGTTGATGTTTCTGATGACGTCAGCTGTAAACAAACAGAATGAACCGGAAAGGAATCGAGGGACTACTATACAGATAAATGGATAGTTTTAATCTTAAATCTCTCCAAAAAATAAGTGTTTGAAGTGTGTATTACAAAAGCTTGCATAAAAACGGTCTTTTTCGGTAGCGCCATACGTGTAGAAGTTTTTGTTTTACTCTCTTTCGAGAATTTCACATCTGGGTATTTCAACCGCTTGCCGGTGGAGGGTTGCAAATTTAGATTTGAACTCGGCATTCAGGGATATAAAACAGTGATGGATCTTTTTCGTGTCATCAGTTACTGAGACACGGGATCTTGGTTTATGCGGTCTCATCCGAAGGACCGGTCTCCACGTCAGTGGGATTCGAACCCGAGACGCACGGAATTTTCTGGCTGTTCGCATCTAAAAGCAAACGCTCTAGCCGCTGTGCCACGCGGACGACTCAGCACAGAATAGTAAATATAAACCCTGCTAACACTCTACAGAGCACTAAGTTGTCATTGCTTTTGGATACTTGATGTTATGAAACAGACAATTGTACACTTACAACGTGATGACTTTAACTTTCCTATCGTCAACTTCCCTTACTTATATGCAGCAATATACCTTCATCACCTGCATACGGAGTTAATATATCTCAATTGATTTGATACGCAAGGGCATGCTCTACGTACAAGTCAAATGCTGACTGACGTTTTTCATACTAATTGTTAGTCCATTGTTTATACACTGCATTGACGACGGATTTTTTCCCGTTATTTTCTTATCAGGTCAGCAGGGGATACTCACTCCTCCATGGCACCTGATCCCATCTCTGATGTTTTGGAGGTCCGTGTTTGCTCTGCTCCTATTTTGTATTGTTTTGTGGACTTTTGATCTTGAATACTGTTCGCTATCTCCATATGCTTATTATAAAATATTTTTTATTTTGTTTTGCGGAGGTTAAAATGTATATTTTCCCATGGGCACTTGTTTCTGTAATATTTTTAACCCTTGGTATAATAATATAATATTATGTTTTGAAAAGAATTATTGCAGATTTTGAAACAAATGCGTCTGATTTTTCCTTTATAAAAAATGGGAAAAAAAAAACACAGGCATTTGTTTCAGAATCTGTAATAATTGTATAAAATTTTTAATTCCATGGCAAATACTATTTTTAGATGGAAAGTATTCTTGAAGGCGCTTTGTTATTATTTTCTCAAGGTTGCAGTGGACTCAAGTTTCGAAAAATAAACGATAATACATACCAGACAAAAATAATGCAATTCCAATCATTACTATATTGTTATGGATATATCTTATCTTAGGGAGTATCTATTATAATATGATATTTGACCAAGGTCTTCCCTCAGTTGGTAAAATGCCAAGAAATTCAGATACTAGGTGACGCTAAATAGATTATTCACGTTGGAAGATATTTTGTTATACAGACATAAATTGAGAAAAATTTAAGTCAATTGATAAAAATAAAATAAAACAAACATTGTTAGAAATATGCCAAGTCTGGTCAGTCTATACATACACCACTAGTACATGAGCATTACCCGGTATGAGCATGCGCTCGGTCGTTCAATTCAGAATTTGTTCAGAGTACTAGTATTTTGAAATTAGACAAGTGATCATTTGGCATTTTCCGAGGGATACTGTTGTCTTCAGGTCACGATCCGTTTTGTTCAATATTTGTGAGTGATATGCTGCCCAAAGCTTATATTCATTACGTGGTAAGATCGGTGCATAGGACATAGAGGGATATTAACGGTGAATGTGTGTTTCTTAAAAAATAAAAAACTCAAAAGCAGAATAAAATCAATGTTTATTTTACAAATAAACAAGAGGCCCATGGGCCTTATAGGTCACCTGAGCATTATGCAACATCTTTCCAGTGATTGAATTTGATTCATGTTTTAAGCCAAATGCTATGGCATTCACAATTTTGAAAGAGGCACCATTGATCATCATAACAATACACTTAGCAGTTGCTTAGTTTGTTTACTTAATACCCATATGCAGGGTAAGGGAACAAAAAAATGTATTTCAACTAATCAGTAATATTCAGCAATAATCAGTAGTGCCCCTACCACACATGAACCCCTGACCCTTAGGCCTTGATATCTGATTAATACCAAGGAGCAGATTTCAAACCATTCATTCATTTTCAGTAAATAAGTACAGCCCCCCCCCTTCTATGGAACCCCTGACCCTGGGGCCTTGAAATTCACAATTCTGGAAGATATGGGCCCTTGTCCAGCATAACTATATAGGTAGTTCATCTGCTTAATACCCAGGAGCAGAGAAGAAGATTTTCAAAGAATTCATGTATTTTCACTATATAATCAATAGAGCCCCGCCCTAACACCAGAACCCCTGAACCTGAGGCCATAAAATTCACAATTTTGGCAGAGGCACTCTTGCTCATCATAACTATGCACTTAGTTAGTTTATTTAATACCCAGGAGCAGAGAAGAAGATTTTCAAAGAATTCATGTATTTTCACTATATAATCAATAGAGCCCCGCCCTAACACCAGAACCCCTGACCCTGGGGCCATAAAATTCACAATTTTGGTAGTGGCACTCTTGCTCATCATAACTATGTGCTTAGTTGGTTTATTTAATACCCAGGAGCAGAGAAGAAGATTTTCAAAGAAATAATGCATTTTCACTGCCTACTTATTTAGCCCCGCCCTAGCGCTAGAACCCCTGACCCCAGGGCCATGAATTCCACAATTTTGGTAGAGGACTCATTGCTGATTACAATCATGCAAACAGTTTGACTGCTTGATGTCCAGTATATGTGTTTCTTAATAGGAGTAAAGAAGAAGATTTTTAAAGATTGCATTAATTTTAGTGGTTTTGGCCCCACCCCTCAGGCCCCAGAGGGGCAAGGATCATGAAATTCACAATTTTTGTTCCCCTTCACCCATAGATGCTTTAGGCCAAATTTGGTTGAAACTGGTTCAGTGGTTGCAGAGAAGAAGCTGAAAATGTTCAAATGTTAACGCACAACGCACGACGACGGACGAAAACAGATAGCAATAGGTCACCTGAGTTTACTCAGGTGACCTAAAAATTCATCAATAGAAACAATTAACTTGTATATCAAATGAGATCTGTAGTCTGTCCAATTTACATATCATATTCTAATGAATAATAAATTACATAACTGTACATATTTCTATATTCTTATCTATAAAAGCAATTTCTCTTTGATCATTTAAATGCTGCCTTCTTTACCATAAGGTAAAATACTATATTAAATATATTTTTAAATTTTTAGCATTGATTTTCATACAAAGCATTCGATTCAAATGGAAAATAGATTGAAGTACATGTATGAAGCGTTGCTTACTTTTCAGAAATGAATATTGTGTCAAATCATGATTTGAAGAAAAAAAATTTATCACACGATTAAATTTAACAACAACAAATTACATTCACACCTTTACAAAATAACCCCCTCCCTCGCCTGGAATTTACCAACCGTAAAAAAATTACGAGCAATCTTCTTTGAGAAGAACAATTTCCAGTATTTATTACAGAGATTAGTTTTTTTAGTATATTTCTTACCAGTCCTCTCGAAAATTATTCACTCATATGCAGACGCCATCACTTGCCAGTGAAGAGCAGCAAATTTAGTCCTATACTCGGCACTAACGGACATTGAGCAGTGAGGGGTCGTTTTAGTGCCAGCACCTACTGGGACGCGGCACTTCGATTTTTACGGTCTCATCCGAAGGACCGGTTTCCACGTCCCGCAATGGGATTCGAACAGCGACGTAAGGATCAACTCCTTAATCTGCAACTCTACAGCTGATACGGGCGACTACAAAGATTTGAACACAAATAAATAATTTTTTTACCAGTGACACTTAACCTGCCGAAATGACGTTTAACGGTTTATTGCGTGGACCCTGAGGTCCACGCAGTAAATATATAAGCGAGGTTTAACCGGATGCCCTGGGCATACGCCAGGCTAAGCATGCGCGAGAATGCTAGAGAGTTCCAATCGGCAATCCTCGGCTGACTCCGCTACACGAATCGACTTTTCCGAATAGCTTTACGATCTCTGACGGAAAGACCCGAGATGATGCGATTGAGAGTTCATTGATGGATCCAGATTTCTAATGTATACACATAACTAAACATTCGTTCTATGGCACAAGCATTCTCATAAGTAGGAAGAAGTTGCAGTTTATACTATACAAGATAACTTAACAACTTGAATTAAAAACTTCATTCAACGACTAGTTCTAGCTTTTAAAAAATAGAACAAGTCTTCACAGGCATTAGTTTTGAACATCAAGGCTCGCATAATAATTTGATATATATAGGAATCCAAATACAGCTTGATACAAGTCTGTAGCAACAGTTTTCCATGTGAGGGAGGGGGGGGGGGGCTCCGAAAACAAAATCTGCATACTATAGAGTTCTGCTACACGTGTACCATCAGATCTAATTTTCCAATGATAGATCTCTTCTGAATAAATCTAGAATACTAGTATATGTAAAGTCCCATCCATTATGGGTTATATATATCAAAATAGTGTAAAACAGTCAAAGTAGGCAGATGACGTTGTAGAAAATGCGAACGAACCTACATGAATATCCAATAAATTTAGAAATTTTCTTTAATATCGGTTAGAAACACATGCATATGGTCCACGTATTGTAGTCCTTTTTTTAAAGGACAGCAACTTGTTCATATTAATAATACACTTTCAGGTCATATCCATGGTGCCCTCATTCATTTTCCATATGGTTATAAACCAGACAAGAATTTTGAATGTTTCCGACAGATACAATACAAAAATGGAGCAGAGAAAACACGGACCTCTAAAAATCAGAGGTTGGGATCAGGTGCCATGAAGGTGTGAGCATCTCCTGCCGACCGGTCACACCTGTCTAAAAATGTTCAAAGCTCCACAATATCTGAAGAACTAACTACATGTTCCTGTAAGCGCATAAGATGCAGTAAGGACTTGTAAAGGTTCTTCACACTATCCCAGGTGGTCATTTCCCTAACACGAATTTTGTTAAATCTTTGTTCAAACTGTAATTTGTCACCTTGAAGAACGATGAAGACATATCGCACACCGTCTGTCAAGATGTTAAAAAGAGGCATGTTTTTGTTGTTCGTTTTCCTCGTCAGGCGCTCTGTCTGAAGTATGCAGAGTTCTAGGACAGCTTGAACTACAGAATCTGGCTTGAGAGATCTAGAGCTTTTGGCTTCGACTGCTCCAATAACTTCTCCATTACTGTTGACGATTCTATAATCAAATTTGCAATTGGGGAGATAAGAACAATCCACATTTCTTTCAATTTCAACAGAAAGGTTTAAACATGAACAGAGTGGAAAGAAAATTTCATTTAATATAAGCCTTGTTCCCACTTCTGTCCTACACAGAGACTCAAAGTTACAAGTTAGCGTTTCTTCTTTTTCATGTCCGAAAAATTTAACTGTTGATGATGCTATATGAATTCTACGTTTAAACTCGGAAATCATCTGATCTACTTGTAATTCATTTTCACAAAGATTTTGTTGTAAATCCAACTCTTCCACAGAGCTTTCAAAATCGAAGTAGCGAGAAAATAAGTCTAAATTCCATTGAGAACAAGGTTTGTCGATGTCGTCCTTTTTATTCGGTGTACGTTCAGCTCTTATTCGTGGCCTTTCAATTGAATGCTCCTTTTCAAGGGAAGCCAGATGCTGTGGATTTATGTCTGCCAATATGTCGATTTCATCCGATTCCTGATCAGGCGAGGACAGATGTTGTTGAGGGAAAACAATTGGTGATCTCTTGATTTCACCGTTTGCATTGCTGGTGGATTTCATATTTGAGATGCCATTTCCTAGTAATACATTATCAGTTTTGAGATTTAAACTTTCATTTTTGTTAAATCCAGTGCTTATAACTTCTTCATTGTAAACTTTTCCAGATAAACTTTCCCAACTATCCTTCTTGAATTTATTATTCTTCTCCTCCCATTTTCTTTGAGAACCAGGTTTTCCGGTTTCCAGTACAAATCGTTCTTGTTCAAGGTCACCGCTTATTTTCTTTGTTTCTATACTAACTCCGGAATCTTGCGCTCTCCCTTGAGTCTCATTCTTAAGGTCTAAGTCAACATCTTTTATTGCTGGGACGCTGCACAAATCATGTTTTTCAGTATCAATATGTTTTCTGGGGCTAAGCTCTGTTATATCCAATGCAATAACATTGTCTTGCTTTCTTTTCTTTGGTGGAGAAAATGTCTCATCTATGTTCTCTTCAATTGACTCGTCATCGCTAATGGCTATAGGATTTTCTATGGAATTATCAAGCAATTCGATATTGATTTGACCTGTCGGAGAAAATATGCTCGCACCTGTTGAAAGTGTTCTCTGCTGGTCTTGATTATCAGTGTCTCCTTTTTTGACTGCATTAGGTCTTTTTGACAAAGAACCTGAATCCGTGCCATCAAGGGAAGCACCTCTTGAATCTTGAGAATGGATGCTAGATAATTGCCCTTTTGGAAACGATGTTCCACTTCCAGCCTTGTCATAAAGTTTGAGGACTTCATTTTGTTGAAAATTTTTGGTAACTTTTCTTAGTTCCTCCGACCTTCCTTTGACAGGTATCGGCTTCTCGGTATTTTCAAGTAATCTATTGGCAAATGTTTGAGATAAATATTGCGTTCCAGGTAACTTCTTCTTGATTTGCATTCTGCTTGAACCACCCCATGTCACTTTGCGAGGAGATCGAAGAGGGCTTAAGAAGGAATTCCATTTCAGTTTATTCTCTATAAGGAAATCAAAGATATAAAATTAGAAACTTAAATTTTAGTTTAAAAAAATAATTCTATTTTGATTCCTTTGTATTTTAATTAAAATATATTTGTTACTATTCAGACTCAGTGCTTAGAGCGTCTGCTCTAAAGTGGGGGATCCTTATGTCCTGGATTCAAATCCACTGCGGGACGTGGAGACCGGTCCTATGGATGAGACCGTATAAACCTAGGTCGCGTGTCGCAGTAGGTACATGTACTGGCACGAAAGTGCTCAATGTCCCTGAGTGACGGGTATATGTCTAAATTTGCAGCCCTTCCACCGACAAATGGTGGCTTCTCTATATGAGTGAAAATTGTCGAAACGGACGATAAACAAATAAGTCCACGGAGGAAGGACATGCATGAAATAATAACAATGTATTTTATGTAATCCATGTGAAGAACACCAAGAGAACAATTACTGGGAAGAAACGGACTCAAAGATATTTGAAATAAGTGTACACAGTTTTCAGGAAAATTAAACATTTAATTTGCCATGACTCACATGAGAACAGAACTTCAAATTGTAACTAAGAAGTTCAATCGTACCTGGGGTCTGGTTTTAATTTTTTTTTTTAATATTATCATTTTTTTTTTACACATGCAGCTCCTAATTTTTCTGTCAAACAATGTTTAACACTACTGTCTCAACATGACGAAATCTTTCAATCGGAAAAGATCTGTATCATGGTATTTCTGAATGATTAGGACAATACTAATGACTACTTCGTTTGTTTGTTGCTTAACATCCCTCTCGAGAATTTTTCACTCATGTGCCAGTGGAGAAGCCGCCACGAGCGGTGGAGGGCTCTACTCCGTAACTCGGCACTCAAGGCAATTAAACAGTGAGGGATCTTTTTTTCGTACCAACACACACCTACTTCGACATCGGACCTCGGTTTATATGGTCTCATCCATGTCTTCATGTCCCGCACTCGAACCCGCGACGCGGACTACTTCGTAACTAAGGCACTATTTCCTCTAATAAAAGTTTACATCTCAGAGAAAAGAATAATACAGGTGTATGTTGGTACCTATTAATTAAAGTATGACTCTCTTGAAAATTGATTTTTGAAGAAAAGTGCAAAAGTTTCCTACAGTAGTTCATCATGTAGGATTCCACCTTATCATGCATGGTACTATTGTGTATTTAAATATTCACAGTCCAAACACATCTAACTGGTTTCAGATATAACGAAAAATTATATAACTTTATACACAAATTTCGGAAGGAAGTCTTGAACAAATTTAACTTGAAGTGCAAATTATTGCAATAATTTAATACCAAGGTTTTCATTCAACAAAATAGCATGAGTCAAGAGGATAACATTCAGTATTTCAGAAACAGGTGCCATAAAAAATATGAAATGAAATTCTTGCCGAATTTTTGCTCTTTTTTGTTTTAGAGACCACGATTAAAAAACGTTGGCGTGTATGTAATTGCTTATTAACGTCCAGTTGTCAAGGTAGTAACACATTTTAAATTGCAAAATAATTTTTCACGCCCTGCAAACCATTAACTTAGCCTTTAGACACACTTGTTTAATAAAGATACAAACAACTGTATATTTAATTATGATTTACACAAAAGAAATATTATTAATAGCCCTTTATGTTCATGTGGAAAGTATGAAGATGTTTACCATTTCTTCTTTGCCTGCAGAAATTATCCAAACGCTAGGAATAATCTTTTCAATCGCCTATTTTTACTTGACGAATTGGTCAATATTGACAATATTGACACAAATTTGTTATTATGTGGTGATGTAAATTTGCCTGTTGAAACAAACACATATATTTTTGCTGCTGTGCATAAATTTATTGACGAATCTTGTAGATTTTAAATTGTTATATTTCTGAACAAATATTCCACTTGTATCTCTTTTGTATTTATATCTCTATGTACTACATGTATTTTTATTGCATGACATATAGTTATATTTAAGGAGAGGAACTCGTAAGTTGAAAGAACTTGTTTCCAATCCTTTTGTTTAATACAATAAAATATGTTCAAAACAAAACAAAGATATTTATTGTAAACTTTGACTATTAATCTAAGTTAATGGTTCTGGGACCTGGGTAGCGCTTTCGCGTGACGTGATTCAAATCGGTCGAGTTACGTATTCACTTGACACCGGCTGAACTACTGGAAGGAAACTTCCTGAAACAAATTACTAGTTTTTGAAACAAATTACTATTCGAAGAATGCTTTGGGTTTTTAATCACAATGTACTTACATGTTAATAATTTTAACTAACCACACGTTTTTCTTTTAATTCAAATTTTTTTCTTACTTCAATTGAAAACAACGTTGTATGTAAGAGATTCGCAAAGTCATGACTTATTATTGTTCGCTGTATGAAGTTTGTGAACAAAATACTATCTCCAAAACCTTAGATATCATTCTATTTACTTTAAGCGAAGGGAAAAAAATGCGGTAGAACTTTAAATGACGAAAATTCTTACCTGTCCACTCCATAGGCGTGTCCCTTTGTTGTGATGTTATTTTTAGCACCCTGTGTAAGCGGAAATGAAAGAAGGCACTTAAACACCGAAAATGCAATTTAAGAAACACGGAAACGGGTATATGGTGTTAAACTGATACCAGTGCAAATGGAAATTTTCTAATACGCTGCAAAGGGTGTGTTAAATGTTATAACAAGGAAGAAATTTAGGTGACGCTTAGTTACCTTATGACCTACTTTGCATTATGTACCTACATGTCTATACTTGTCCTGTCATGCGGAACGATTGAGAAGCGTATGTCATGTGTATGTCGCCTATGGCTAACTGTCGCATTCATTTAGCGGATCCAAAAAACCATTTAGGCAGTTTAGTTGCGAAAAAGCTCTTGACAATCTAAAAACAACCCATTCTCTTTATAATGATAATTTCATGCATGAACGTACAAGAAGAGAATTATTCCGAAATAGACCTATCTGACGTTTTTCAGGCTTTACTAATGATTTTGATATTTTACGTGCCAGGAAAACGTCAGAACCGGTGCCATGACGAAAACTGTGAATTCGCAGCCACCAACCCAAGGCGGCATTTTTGGGTTGGTTTTCGAACCGAATTAAAGGTCAAACTAATAACCAATCAATAGTACAATACTTTTAGTACTCACCAACATCGTTTTATGGTTCGTTTATAAAATATACAATTCGAAGAAACAATTAAAATATCTTGACTGTCGAGAGGTTTTCATTTCGTGCATTTTAATATTTTGCTAGTCTTGTATCGAAATGTGAACTGATGTTTTCTTTTCATCAATATTTTTTTAGAAAAAGAATTATGCTATTGAAATATTGTGAATTTTACATTTAAGGAGGCTGGAGGGTCAACAAATAAACCAAAAATTAACCACCAGAATTAACTTATTTTTTTAAATATGGTATATTAAGCTATCATTTATTATTTGGCAAAGAAAAAATTCCTACATTTTAGTTTTAAAATTTTATCATTTTTTATATCTTTATATGGAGCTCTTCTTTTAAAGGAGATCGAAATAGTCTGAAAATGGCTGCCACCCCCCAGCCTCGTTAATTCAGTTTGCAAGTATCGAAAATCAATTCCGGTTTGAGACGGCGATTTCCAGTTTTCGTTTTCCTGGCACGTAAAAAATCAAAATGGTGAAAATAGCCAGGAAAAACATACCTTTTCCAAAAACGCATTTTCCAATTTTCAATTACAGCGCATATATTAAAATCACTGGCACTTGCTTCGGACATAAATATTTAACTCATAGTATAATAATAACACAAGATTATTAAAATATGGGTTAATAATTTATTTCCGGAACAAGTGCCTTCTTTTGAATCACGTGTCCTTGGTTTACTTTGCAAAAATCCAAACAACAGTGATATATTAACCTAGCACCCCACCCCCCCCCCCCCACCCCACCCCCCCATAGTTCATTAGTGTTTAGAGTTTTCTAAAGTATGATGCAGTTCTTACCACTTTATAAATAAACATGTCTAGTAAATTCAAGAAGTCAAAAAAAAAATTTAACAGTTAGTAGAATGACCAATTATTTATTTTCAAGACATAAATATGCTGTCTAGTCCCATTCACTTTTGTAAATATAAGTAAAATGTTGTTTAAATAAATACGAGGTATAAAAGTAGATAATATTTAGTGTCATTAATATAAAATTCCGTTTAGAAACATCACATTTTTATCCCTGCCTCTAAAATAAAATATCCAGAAGTGTTACATGTAAATAACTTAAATATTGTAACTCTTCACATTTTCTCCTCTTTTTATATTCACCTAGACCTATAACGCTGCCGAAATATGGTTTTTTTTCTCGATGATTAATTTTTCGCATTTTTTGCAACCATTTTTAATTTACAAAATATAAAAACATGCTGACATTATGTCAGCAATGATTGATGTGTCATAAAAACATAACCATTTTAAACAAAAAAAAAATCATCAATCGTAAAAAATAACTTAGGCAAAATAAAAACTGTACTAATCTATCCCTTTTTCGCAAAATTTCCAACATGTGAAAATAACGGATATATGGTACATTACGTGTATATCATAAAACATTTACTTCATAATCCTCTCAATACTTTCTTCACATTTGTGAAATCATTTTATGTATGGAAAAGAAAAGAAAAGTTAATTATACCATTCTGATCAATCTCCATTGTCCACCTGGCCTGTAGTCAAATGCTATCTGTAGTTCACTGGTGATGAGGAACCATCAGTTTCAAACAACTTTGGGGTCTTAGTGGTATTTCTGTCAAATATGTTAATATTCATAAACATGTACTTTCATGAATAACCTTATTTTCAATCTGTTATAAGATTGTAAAACTGATAAATAAGTAGAATTTTTCACGGATTTATGACAAAAACTGTATTGATTCTCCGTTTACATGGTTTACATATAATATCAATTATCCATACTTGCCAACCTCCAGCATTTAAAAATCTGGTCATGACCAGATTTGGAAAGTAAAAAATCTGGTCATAACGCGTAACGACATTCACGACATATTTACCATGATTTAATTTTATACATATATATACAAAGTATTTGTGTATTGAGAATTCTTTTATTGAAAAAGGATTTAATTAACTATGACAAAAAATTCATACATAATTTGATTTAAATTTACATGTTAAAAAAATGGAAATTGAAGGTTTTTTGTATTAGTATTGACCTGTAGTAAGTGTGCATTAAAGCCTTTTCAGTTTTCTGCTAAATTTGAAAGAATACCAATTTCAGTTGTGAAGTTATTTTTCCTCTCTCTTAATTAATTAACTACTGCAATATGTTTTAAATGTGAAGTTAGGCCAACACTGTTATCGATCATTTTATTTCATCTAGAATGAAAGTTTTTTTTCCAAGATTCCTTGATATGTAGATCTACATAAATATCGTTTCTCTTTGTTATATCAGAGAAATGTGTTTAGTTCAACTTGTTCCTGTTGGCCCAGATAACGATTTAGTTCTATCGTTCCAAGCCATTTTAATTGACTTCAAACATTGATTTGTCAAAACAACACCCAGTTAATTGTTAACACCTGCACTGATAATTAATCCATCGGCATTGTTTACGTAGATCTAAGCTTGGGTTGTAACTGGAAGTTAAAAGTGCAACCTAATTTACGAACCAAATCCGGAAAATCGGGAGATTTTCGGGTTGATCGGCAAAAATCGGGTGATAAGCATGACCCGCCGGGTCATAAAAAATAATCGGGTTACGGGTTAAAAAATCGGGTGTGACCCGACGAAATCGGGTGAGTTGGCAAGTATGATTATCTTGCATTCCCCTAGCCAGGGACCAATATCATGTATATATATATATTCAATTCTCATTATATCGCGGGTTCCATTGTATCGCGGTATATTCCAAAAAATTAGATACATAGCCCATGTGATTTTTGTGGATAAAGCTATCTGTTTGTCACCAGAATACAACACAACAATCTATCCATTCATCATGAAATAGAGATCTATATAATACGTTAGTTTGTTCTGTGTGATTTTATGAGGCGCCCTTCTACGGAGTAGTATTTCAAAAGTACTTCCTGATTTTTCTGACCAAAACCAAAAAATAAAAATAAAAAATAAAATAAATCGAATTTTAGATCAATAAAGGGGGGTTTGGCTTTGTGAGACCAAAAATGAATTTAGGAAAAATTCTGCTGGATTTTTTTATGTCAAAAGAAACTATTCTTAGGATATCAAACATTCAACTGACAATGATTAAATATATCTTAGTGTTTAGGTTCATATTTGTAATCAATTTAAAATTTCAATAATTAAAAAAAGTATTCCTGACTTTGCATTTAGAAATGTAGTTAATTTTTTTAAAGGAATAATATTAATGCACAAATTAATATTTTATTAGGTAGCCCGATTCTCTCATAGTTGTGTCATATTCATGATATTGCTGTCTGTTTTTGTTCGTCGTTTGTATAGTTATCATATCGTAAAAGTGTACACATTATTCTTAAAAAAAAAAAATTCTTTTTTAATTCTCCTTGTGTATTTAGTGTACAAACTTTAATGCATAGATATGATGAGCAATTAAGATGGGTACGTCTTCCAAAATTAATTACCCCTTGGTCTTGGATTCTATGTTTAGGACGATCGAGGCTCTTTTGATTTTGAAAATGCATTGATTCTGTGAAAACCTTATTAATTCTCTGTTCTCTGAAGGATTTTTCTCACACAAAGCTGTATTTCTTGTATCTAAAAATTAATGAAATTTTCACAGAAACAATAAGACAATATTACTAAGTGATGGTATCAATTAGATTAGTTTTGACCGTTTTACATAAGAGTCAAGGTCAGGTCAAGGTCATTAATTTTTCCCTGGACATTAAGAATAAAAATAACTGCATCCAATCATGCGATAGGGTCTTCTATTTCAAAAGATGATTTTTTTTTTCTTTTTGCATTAAAAATAAAACCATATAGGATATATAAGATGATATTATCAAACTGACAAAAATAGTTTGAATTTTCTCTATTTTTCTTAAATTTTTTATAACGTTTTCAAGGGAATAAAACATACCTTTTCCAAATACGCATTTTCCAATTTTCAATTACAGCGCATATATTAAAATCACAGACACTTGTTTCGGACATAAATTAATTTTTTAAACCATAGTATAATAATAACGCAAAATTATTAATATATGGGTAAAAAATTATTTCCAAACAACTTGAAGTGCCTTCATGATTAAATTTTATTGCATTTCAGTCCTAACACCTACTTTTTTAATTACTTGATTAGCTAATTGCGTTTATACTACGACTGCGTGCACCCTGCATGCCTCGAATGAAAGCAAACTTTGCTAAACAAACACGTCGTTAATTAGCGACTTTGGTGTGAAGCGTGACAATCAATGGAGAGTCAATCAGCTGATCAGATAATCAATATATTGAGAGTTTATTATTCTGTACACAT